TGGCATTTTGCAGACGTTATTTATTAATATAATCAATTTCGATAGAATCAAAATGTTTAAATGTCCTTCTGCTACTATTCTCGGTAAAATATGTGCATATGATGGTAAATATGCATGACTAGCCTGCAGCTAGATATAAATTAAATTCACATTTCTAGTTTGTGTGCGGAACCTTATAAGTATGGTTTGACATGTTCATACTTAAGCTGATGCATATGAACAAGAAAAATACGAATCACTTGCATATAAATGACGGTAGCCAAAGCAAATATGCCGAGCACTTGAATAAATCACTGTGCTATGATAGGAAAATTTGTTGGGAAACTGCTCAATAATAACATAGCTTGTTTGATTATGCCAACAGCGATTCAAAAATCTCAAATTATATAGGCTATACCTGTACATTAATCATTGTCGAGTCTGTATGAAGGCGAATTGTAGTTTTTTGGTCACAATATCTGTGACGGTCATCATTTCAACTGAAGAGAAATATACAGGGTAGCCCTTCCATGTGTGGACGGAATATTACTCATAAACAAATACATTTTGGGAAAATCTATTTATGGCATATTACACATGACATTTGAGGGCACATTTCTAAAATATTGGGTGTTCCAATTTTGACCTATATATCAAAGTTGTGATTTTTTAAATAGAAAGCCTCAAATTTTATTGCATATTTGGATAAACCAATTCAAAAGAAGAAGATTGATATAACATTTGGTTATAAGCTACTGAGATGTAAGGTGTTTTATCCAGAAAAACTGTCCACTTCATCAACCTCTCAATCCGCCATTTTGAAATTTGGAATGCTGAATTGTGTATCAAAAAAAAACTTACACACCTCAGCTTTTATCTTATTTGTTACTTTTTCGAATTTTCATTTTTGCTCATACAAGGTGGTCAAAAACGCAAATTGTACTTTTTCTCAAAAATTTCAAATGCATCACCCTGTATATTTGTGCAAGTTTGGATTCAATTTTTTATACGCTTTTTTTGTATAAGGTTTGATACAGATAAATTCACTAGATTTTGAGTTATTAAACTTTCAATAGAACAACACACCAAAATTAAGGAAAAAATCACATCATTTATGGAAACAAAAGACAAACAGTGGGCTAGTTCCATATTGCCACTAAGAGTGCAGATTTGACGTAAAAACTAATAACAATCAGAACAGTATAAATCAGCTTCAAGCGTAATAGAGAAAAACATCTATAACAACAACATAAACAAACAACTATCACTACTCAAGACCTAATCAAAAACTGCTCGAAAATATCTCCACCATGTTGAATACACGTCTGTAGTCTTTGGATAAAGGAACGTTGCACATCCCTCAGCATGTGTTCCCTTATGTTGTTGGGGATTCGCCTCGTTGGTGACACTTCTTGGGTTATTTATACATGTTTTACTATTTTCCACTTCTCCACTTGATTCAAAACGTTCTCGTATCGTTTTCCGTCCTTGAATGTCGCATATTAGGATACCGTTGCTTATAAATGCAAGATGCTAGGAAACTATTTATTTGGGCTCCGCCCAAAACGAACACCATATTCACCATTTTTTCTTTAGAAAAATTCATTTTCAAACTTGTTTTTATTATAATGCTCACAAAGCTAATTTTGACAGTTTGTAACTAATCAACAATTTATTTGTTTCCAAGGATGATATGCGATATTTTAGGGAATCAAGACGAACGAAAGAAGAATAACCTAAATAGTAGCCGTAAAAACCCTTATGTGTCTAGTATCAACAAAAAGCTTATAAAAAATGAATCCAAACTTGCACAAATATACAGGGTGATGCATTTGAAATTTTTGAGTAAAACTACAATTTGCGTCTTTGATCACCCTGTATGAGCAAACATGAAAATTCAAAAAAGTAACAAACAGAATCAAAGCTGAGGTATGTAAGTTTTTTTTGATACAAAATTCAGCACTCCAAATTTCAAAATGGCGGACTGAGGGGTTGCCGAAGTGGGGAGTTTTTCTGGACAAAACACCTTACATATCTCAGTAGCTACCAAAACCCCATAGTATGTTATATCAATCTTCTTCTTTTAAATTGGTTTATCCAAATTGGTAATAAAATTTGCAGCATTCCATTTGAAAAATCACAACTTTGATATGTAGGTGGAAATTGACACCCTGTAGAATAACCAATATTTTGGAAATGTACCCTCACATGGATGGGCGACCCTGTATATTCACGCACAAGTGAGGGAAGTTTTGTCATCGCGGAAAATTTCGAATTTCTGTTAACACTTTACATTAAGTTTTTTCCATGTTTCATAACATCGATATCACGAAAAATCCATGTAATGTATTTCGGCGTCCAAAAAATTATCAGGGACAAAACGAGATACCGTAGTGTCATCTGTGAGAATTTGTCACAGCTATTTCTCCTCTCCGGACTAATAAGAAAGCTACTTTAAAAAATTTAATATGAGATATGAGATATCTCGATTCCAAACCTTTTCAAAATAGAGTTATAATAAGTGCAGAGGGGAGAAACATAGCCGTGAAAAATGCTCATACATGACGCTGTGGTATCTCATCGAATCTCTGATAATTTTTGGATTTTATAAAATAAATTATATGGTTGGATATCTTCAAGTGAAATATGACAACAAATGTTTTTGATGGAATTTAGTATGTAATGCTACATCATGTTTAAAAAACAGCACAGTTGAGCTGAAGCTTAGAGGAAAAAACGATCAAGTTTGAGGACGATCTCATACTTTCTTTCTTTTTTCATGTCCCACATTTTGCCATGTTTCAGGAGATGAAAAATTTTTTGAGGGACTAAAGTATTGTGAAGTCTTGAATCTTTACTGACTACTGACTATTTTTCCTATAGTGCCAAGCTTAGGCTTTGGCCAAGCTCGTCCAAGAATACACCAATATAAACAATTAATTTTTGTCCTTAAAAGGGCTTATTGCATATATGGGTAGATTTCTGCTTTCTCTCTGGAGTTATAGGCCGATATGCCAACGGATTTTGCTCCTCCACCGCGTACTGATTAAGGTGTAACACGACTGTAATGTACTAAAAGAGCCATTTTTGTCATGCTTTTTTGTGGAAGAAAAAGTATCAAAACAGTAATATTGGAAAAAAAAATTAATGACCACATAGTTAATCAACAAACAAAAAAATCATATAAAAATATTCAAAAATGGCGGCATGGCAGCCATCTTCGCGAGGCATACAGAATTTGAAGAGCTCTGCAGCACACAGTGTAGCTGCTGTAAATTCAGATATAAGAAAAAGAAAAAACAATTTATTGTACATGTATATAGCTAAAGAAATAAGTATCGGGTTTTAGAAACTTTGATTTTTGTGTGGTTGGTGAGTATTTGAATTAAAACGTTCAATTTTAGGTGAACATATGTAATTATTCGTGAATAAATTGTATCGTATTTCTCTTTGAAATGTTATTCTAGAGGTATTGTAAAAATTTTGAATAAACAGAATGACTGCTGTTCGGGTAGTGCTATGAGCCGGTTTAAAGGACCGCGTTTTGAGGAAAGTGCTACCGTGCTGCTATTTTTGGACATCTTTCCATGGTAATTTTCGTTTTTGTTACTTCAGTATACACTTAATAACTTCCTCCAATATTGTTAGTTTATTACACTTTCTTCCACCAGAAAAAAGTACGCTAGGCAGGTAGAGTGGTGAGTGATTAATGTTCGTGGCTTTGCTGATACAATGCTACGCCACTGTAACACTGATCCAATGATAGGTAGAAATTAATGTGTAATATGTAGAGCACGATTACATCCAATTTTATAATATCGAATAAATAATGACAAGTTAATAGCGGAACGATTATAACCTCAGTTAATTTATAATGCTGAATTAAAATTGATGGAAATTGCTAGGAAGCAATTCAACGTGGAGGTATCTAATATACTTTTTTGCTCTATTTTTTGCATACTGTAACATATTCAATGCATAGTCATAGGCATGGATGATGGGCAATGTGTATGTACGGATAATATATTATTAAATGTGAAGCCTCAGACAAGTTCTGCATACTTGAAAGTACTACCTAATAACTGGTGACGAGATGTGGTGAAGGGATAATTTGACATTTGATTTGAAAAGAAAATTACGTACGGCTTTATCAAAAGTTATCTTCATGTACAACACCTAATAATGCAAGATTCCAACTGATAATAGGTATATTTTGTACTTTCCTAAAAACTGATTCTCCATTCATTTTGACGTCTACAATTGGGATGATGTCGCCCAAATGCGTTGTTTCACCCGTTAGTAGCGTCACGAACTAAAAGATACGATATGATTCTAAGAACTTAAATTACAAAAATTAATTTTTATTATGTAGAAGATAGAATTGAGATTGAGATCCTACATTTCGACCCCTTTTATTTTATATTGATGATAGGTAAAGACGGAAATCAACGGTTAGCAAATATTACCTCTTTCAACAAGGCAGTTTAGGAACTTCGTAATAGGTGGATGAATAATAGATTCATCGCTAAGCAAGTCGTTCCTACTTTTCCAAGAAATCTCGACTTCAGCTCTGGCAATTGATCTAAGAAGCGCCTGGAAGATTTGCTAGAACTTCAAATCGTTTTTCCAATCAGAGTATAGAGCAGAGTTGCCAGATGTCCTTCCGGATATAACGGAAGTACACAAGAATAAGGATTTCTTAATATACGCATATTATAGAAATAAAATAAATGATGATTCCTGGAGCTTGTACAAGAAAAACACTACTAGCACTAAAAACAAAAGACTATTGTTACTCCTACATAAACTACCGTTTGCGGATCCTCATAACGTTCTGATGTGACAAGTGTACATGCGTGGGTGATAGGCGATTTGTGAATGTAGATTAATGAGATTTGAAACGAAAATTATGAGATATTAGTACATTGTATTGTTCAGTGGGACGTAATGTTGCCGCAATAAGCATAAATACTCATTATGCAGACAACTTAAATTATGCTGCTTTAGTGCAATTGTTTGTGAGAGAACTAGCCCATACCACTTGATTATTTAGTTACCGAAACGTGACTGATACCACTTGTGGTACCTTATACAGTATGTTAACACTACTGTACACCTCAACCGTCTTGGAAAGTGTAGAGTTCAGATTTAGCTTTTTCTTATCAAATAGGTAACAAATCTTGAATTGTTTCAGGTCGGATAGCTGCAGGAGAAGGCAGGTTCAACTCCAACAGCGAAGTCAACATCAACACTGAAGTGAAAAGTATACCAGTAACGAAGAAAGGTGTATACTTCGCTTTTAGAGACCAAGGAGCTTGTATATCGCTGTTAGCTATAAAGGTGAGTTTAACAAGTCATCAATCATTTTATGGTCTTTCATCAATTCTTGAGTATCTACATTCTGGATAAATAGTTGTTTCTTGAATAAAGTGAGTGCAAATCTGATGTAGGTTTGTCGCCGAGATCCACGGAAAGCCCCAAAAGTCGCATTTCCTTATTCCCAATAGAAGATGGCGACGCTGTATCTTGATGTGAAAGTTACAACAGTTACCTTATTAGACCTACTGGCGGGACTTCGACCTATCCCACCCCCGCTCTTCGATTGTTAAAAGGCATTCACTCTCATAAGCGCTGCTCAAGTATGCACCCCCTCCTCCCGCTTTTCAATTTTTGATCACTTCTTCAAGACCTTAAACATGAAAGCTGCGACCATGGAGATAATCCTAAATCCGCCCTTGTCTCTTGTGTACCAAATTTCGTTAACTTGATTGAAACAATACGAGACGAAAATGGGTATTTTGCATGGAAAAACTTTAAGTTATTGAAAAAATGTTTTGCCATATGGACCTTGACCCTCTCTTCAGTAAGTTTTTCCCTAAAATCGACTAATTTTCCTACCTCAAATTCGGTTTCTTGGTTCTTTGGTATTATTTGATGGACATATTCGAAATCGGCCTCGCAAATTAGCCGAATGTAGAGAGTTTCATTCGCTTGTAACAACTTTTGAGCATCTGCAACTCCGATAATAATCAGTTCGTTGGGTAAGTTTTTCGCTGCGATCGACCAGAGGCCCCAATGTTTTACAGATTTGGAAATTATTTCCATGTATTTGTTTTCAGTCTCTAAGGTCTCTGTGACCAATTTTGCTGTGAATGTTATACATCCTTAACAATGAACAGAAAAAGGAATCTACGAATAAACTGCCACGTCTCCAAAAGGCGACTAGCACTACCTAGATGATAAAACCCTTATCAAGCTATCTTCTTCCAGATCTACTACATCGTCTGCCCCGAGGTGACTGTAAACTTCGCGCGATTCCCTTCAACACCCACCGGTAAGGAGATCACGATCATCGAACAGGCAACTGGTACCTGTGTCAGCAACGCGGAACCAGTAGATGGAACCCCCGCATACCTCTGCAAAGGTGATGGCAAGTGGACTTTGCCCACTGGAGGTTGCAAATGCAAGGCAGGCTTCCAGCCTGACATGGAGAAGCAGACCTGCAATGGTAAGCGTTTCTAAAACAAATCTGATACCCGCCCAATAAGTTAAGTCAAAATTGTCCTGTTGATATTACTAAAACTTTTGGATTCAGTGGTGGAGTAGCAGTAATGTGAATTGTTTTAATTTCTTTCCGTTAAATTACTAGAGATAAATACTGAAAGAAGACAGTACAGTTTATCTATTACCATAATCGACCACTGTAAGAGTGAAATAGCAGGCTTTCTGTTGGATCTGTATTCCTCAAATTATCGGCAGCCACTTTGATTCGGTTACGCAATTCTTCAATATTCTGAACTTGAGTACGGTATACCTCAAGTATACCCAACAAAAGAAGTCCAGAAGATTGCAATTAGCCCACCCCTTTCGATCCAGCGTATCTGGGATACCTGATTCAGACGATAAGCCGCTCGCTTCTCCGTGCGCTAAAATAATGTCCACTTACTCCTCATTAGTGTACACTTGTGTCATTTTTATTAATTAAATAACTAAAAACATAAACTCGCAAAATACTTTCTTATTTAACTTCACAAACATCGTCCGTTCTTCATTCAGATCACCCACGATACAGATTAAACATTTATACGTTCTTATCAGTATGAAAAAACAAAAAATTCCAGGTATTTTGTTTTCGTCAATTGTTTGGTACAACATTTGCTACAATAAATTATTAATGCGTGTTCTGATATCACGACGCTGAACGCAAAATACAGATATTTATTTTTCAACTTATTATTGAAACTCAGGTTAATAACTTAATTTCTGTAGGACTTATATTACATGTTTTTTTTGAGAAATCAACTTCATTCGTAACAATGCATATGTGGTTAAAATTTGTCGGATAAGTTGTGAAACACCCTGTATATATTATTAATGTTTGTTTCAGTTTGCCAACAAGGAACTTATAAGGCTGAAACTGGAGACGGTCCCTGTCTTCCATGCCCTCCATTTTCCCAAGGACCAGATTATGGTCTGACTGAATGTAGGTGCAACGCAGGATATTTCCGAGCACCCACTGACCCTAAAAATATGTCATGCACACGTAAGTACCAAAAATTTTAAATTTGAACACTAAAGTTTGAGTAAAATGTTTATGTTAGAACATACCTTGAAGCAAATTAAGTACCTCTGGATATACTCTATTGGACACAGTAGATCTTCTCTCAACCTCATGTTACCGCCAATACCTAAGCTCAAGTATAAGAAGCTTAACACCAACACCATTTTAAGATCCCTGATTTCAAACTAAATATATTTATGACCAAAGTCTGAAGGTATTGCGAAACTTTAATGGTTCGTTGTTAATTGATGTTTTGTATTTTTTCTAGAACCCCCTTCTGCACCTGTGAATCTAACTGTAAGTTTCGTCGACCAGTCAACAGTGATCTTAAGTTGGTTACCACCGGAAAGCCAAGGCGGTAGGATAGATACCGTTTATAGGATAAGATGTGACGCTTGTAGCTTAGGTCTAGTCCAATATAACCCTAGTACGGTAAGTAAAATTTTTATAATTCTTTAATTCATACTGAACGGTATTGATATTGCAAATTCAACTAAGAGTGTGAGCCTCCTCATCAAACACTCATGAGCTGCAACTGGTCATGAAGTAAATTCTTGAATTGAGGGTGTATAATAATTGACAGAAAGTAAGCGTGGTTCTATCACCTTTCGTAGAACTCTATTGCTGAACTTTGATAGAAAAAGCACTCCCCATGTCATTCCCGGAAGAAAACGCGCGGAATTCTCACCATTGTTCATAAGTCTCGACTCTTTGCACGAAGTCAACATTTTGATGAAGCTGTTAATGACATGAAGAACCTATAGCGTATCGTCGGTCTCCGCACGTACCGGCGTAACTAACATTTTACAAATTTTACAGCAGAGCTAGAAAACGAAAATCAGCAATAAATAAGATTGAAACTGACATACTGATTTTTTAGTCTGCACGTTGCTGTTTTTTTATTGGACTAAAATTATGTAGAACTTAGTTTTGGGCTGGTTTAATTTTGTAAAAGTAAAATGATTTTTAAAAAAATATATTTTTTTGTATTGTGTAGTTACGCCAACAATTTGAAACTTTACATGGTATCAAAGTATCGAAAATACTGTTTCAAAAATAAATATTGTTTTATTCTCTACATAATATTATAAGTACAAACAAAAAGTAAATGACAAGAAAAATAAACATTTTGTTGAAGTCGACACTCACAACAACACAACAATATTTAAAGGTTATGTTTATATTATTAGAGACACATGCGCCGGTACGTGCTGTATAATTATCGGTCGTATACAGAAAACCAGTTTTAACGCAGAGGCGTAAATCTATTTAAGCAGGTACGTGAAAATGTTTCCGGAATTTTATTAACTACTTACGCAATTTTTTATGAACTTTATTTCCAAGCAGCGAACTGATATACTGTTACATCACTTCGTGAGGTGAGAGACTACAGCAAAATATGTCATTTACGTCTGTACGTGCGGAGACCGACGATATACACAGTGACATTAGAAGTGTTACACCCAGAAATAATTTCTTCAACTTGATTTTTTGGCAATGAGGTAGACTTACATCAAGAATAAAATGATAACATTCGCACGATATTTTTTTGACAAGTAATAAGAAAAATATTAGTAATGTGTTTGGTGACCCGCAGCTGAATACACTCCTGTATACGTCTAGGCATCGATAAAATGAGATGGTCGATGACACCTCATTCCAAGCAACTCGAAATTCGTGGATTAGCTGTGGCAGAGTCTGTGGCGGATGGTGCAAAGTGGATAGTCTCCTCCCCATCATATCCCACACGTGTTCGATGGAATTTAAATCCGGTGAACGGGGTGCTTCTTGAAGAGAGTCTGTAGTTCGACGAGCAATATGGGGACGTGCGTTGTCTTGCTGGAAAAAAAACGTGTGGACGGCCCTCTAGATACGGCAGTAAAGTGGTTTGTAGGACAACAAAACGCACAGCAGTCATATTGCCTTGAATAAAGAGAAGAGGTGATCGGCTACCATATGCAATAGTCCCCCAAACCATTACTCGAACAGTCCTGTGTACATGTCTCTCAACGGCAAATCCAATATCCCACCATTCTGCACGGCGTCTTACCCTTCTACGACCATCGCGCGTACCTGGACAGAATTGCGATTCGTCGCTGAAGATGACATTATGCCATTATGCCTCCCAATGTTGCCGTTCTTTGCTTCATTCCAAATGTTGACGACAGTGGTCCGCAATCAGAGGAAGCACTAACCGTGGACGGTATGAGAAAAGTCGAAAGGCTTGAATACGGCGTTAGAGTGTACGCATAGCAACATACCTACGTTCTTCTCCAAACCACCAGCGATCTGACCCGTAGTAGCAGAATGGTCTCGTAAGCCTAGTTATCTTGCCGCTCTGTGGTACGCCTCAATGGACCAGTTGGCCTTCTTCGTGTTCCTGGTCCTCTACCTTCTTCTATCCACACAAGACACACACGCATTACCGTCATTACAGTACAATTAACTCGATGGTCCATTTCGCGAAAGGACAAACCATTATCTCGACATGCAATAATTCTACCTACCGATGTCAAAGTCGCTAACATGGTGATAATTCGGACGTCTTCGAACTTGAAGCATTTTGATATGCTTGTAACTAGTATATGAAAGGGCAATAATTTAAAATATCTGTACTGCTCAGCAGTCAGAAGCTGCCTTCTTCACAAAATCGAAGAGATAACATTTTAACAAAGGTAGACTTTGTTGCCACAGCATGCCTTAAATATAGTCATTATGTTGCCAAAAAAACTCTTAACTGTAACACTTCTAATGTTACTGAGTGTATTATGGATACCTTCACAAACTTGTTTGTGGAATTTTTATCAATCCTCGGCGAGCATTCAATTGTACTGCAGTCATGAATTAGCCCCATATAAACATACAGAAACTCACTGTTTAAAACTTTTATAAAATTCAAGACTTCAAAAATGTTTGCATACCATAATGTTCTTTTTATGTGGCAGGATAATAATTATAATGTGATTCCAGGAAACATTCAACGAAACCAGAGTAACAATAAGCGGCCTAAACGCGGTAACGACTTACCGATTTCAAATATTCGCTGAAAATGGTGTGTCACACATGGCGATGCGGCCCGCAGAGTTCGCGGACATTGTGGTTACCACCGAAGCATCTGTAGCCAGCAGTATTACCAATATTAGAGTAACTTCGGTAAAGAGTACTGAAATTAGCATAGCTTGGGACGCGCCGAATGATGACGAGGATTTAGTGGAAACTTATGAGGTAAGGATTATCAAAATTATTAGAAATTTGACGTTTAGCCAAACAATAATTACACAAGTCCACAGAAAAAGTGGTATGTTCTGGGGGTTCCACTATATTTTCCCATGTATTTTTCCCGCTGAATACGAATCTGCAATCAGAATAGAAGTGATAGAAACATTTTAGAGACAACCCATCAAACGGTAAGATTCATGATAATCTAGTGGCGTTTTTTTTTTTTTTTTGACGTTCCAACGGCTCCTGAAACTCGGTGATTGGGCGTTGTAGGGTGTGAGGGAAGGTATATTCCTTTTTTGGCGGCAATATATTTATACGCTTCCAATCCCAGTAACTTTACGCCACCTCTCAGTGTATATTCCACTCATCAACGGTTTCTCCGTACATTTGCCCTTAAAACTTAAGAGAATATGCCGAGCTTTGTCCGAGTCTAAATGTATCGCCGGCAGGGATGAACGCCAAGGCTCTCGATCTCAAGGTATAGTACCGTAGCTGGCGCTTATGACATGTTTGACTAGTGTGGTTCAGCAACGTTGCCAGATGGTCGACGCTTAGGACAGGGAAGAACCTAGCAAATGGGTGGGGACTATGGAGTAGGAATGAATTGTATATGGGGCTGTTTGACTGACTTGATCCATTCAATCTTTTTGTTATACATGTTTGTATCTAGCTCAAAGAAATTAACTAGGACTGAACGTAGTCCTTTATGAACTGATGACAGCGTTGCGTAGGCAGTGCAGAGTCGACCTGCTTGACGCAATTTTTGATAAGATAATATTCTTATATTGTTCGTGAAATGGATTTCTGCTTCGCTTTTTTAGCCTTTTTGTTTGTTTCTCTTTGTATTCGGTATATAGGGGTTCGCGACTGCTTTAGTATAAAATATTAATTGTGAATGTTCATTGTGTATCAGCATTGATAGAATGAATTCTACTAGTAGGACACGTTAATCAATGGTATCAGAGATGGTCATCCACCAAAATCTATACTGCTGTCCATGAACTTCCATATTTGTCGATCGACCCCTAATACTGACAACATATTTATTTTCAGCAGGAGAATAGATGGAAAAAATATACCCTCCGCACACACCACTTTTTTGTGAATCAGTAATGGCAATAACAAGACGTCAACAATCTTGCAAGGCTCGTTCACTGGCAGCGAGTTTGTCTCTTATTTAATAAACATTAATAAATAATGATAAAATCAAAGTTGCACATGACATTATTTGATTTTGAGAGCTTGATATGCTCTATGAGAAGCTGCTTCGCACAAACATGTTCAGGTTTTAAATAATAGTCTGTTTTCATAGGCAGACGAAGTGGAAGTAAGCTATCGAAATGTTGTATTAAATATGCCTTAGGCCTTTAGGTTTTCTTACAGCGATGATAATGTTTTTACCTTGTGATTTTAGGTGCGATGGTTCAAGAGAAACGACATAGACTACAGTAATAATAGCTTGCTGACATCGGATTTATCAGCTACTATAACTGGCCTGCAACAGAGAACCGAGTATGGTGTACAAGTTAGAGCTAAAACTCAAAGAGGATGGGGTGCTTATTCTCCCGTTATATTCAAAACTACGGGACAAGTTTTAAATACAGGTAAATAAGTGCTACTGTTTTCGTGGATTTCTCAACATGCCCAGTTTTTTCCAAACCCATATGGAGATCATGGTCTTCGCATTGTCAGTTATTTAAACTTACATAATATGAAAATTGCTCTTCGGTTATTGGCTTACTGAAATTTTTGTTGCTTTCAGCTTACATTGGAGATGAAGAAGGCCTAAGACTACAATTAGTTGCTGGTGGAATAGTAGCAGTAGTAGTTATCCTAGTAGCTGTTATAGTTTTAACTGTAGTATTCTTACGATCAAGGTCTAATGATGAATGTAACAAGAAGCAACCTAGTGATTGTGATACGCTAGAATACAGGAACGGAGAAGGTAAGAATGATCTGCTTTGTATTTCGAAAAAAAATAATTCACTGAACTCAAAAAGTTATATCGAAGTATTTGTTTTTGTTCTCTTATCCATTATGCCCAAAGCAGTTGTCAGTTATACTGCTATTTGTATACCTTATGAAATTATCTGAATATTGAAAAAACAAGTTTCAAAACGATGTTATTACTTTTGTGTGAGTCAATATTTGAGTTCAGATATTTAAGGAATAGAAAATGAAAAGCATGTGATATGCAAAATTGAAAAATATATAGCGATTATAGAGAAATTAGCACAACTAGCTGTGAGATCGTGATTTCTGAATAGATGCTAGACAGCACTAATCCCATCAAAATTATAACCTAAATGCACTTTTCACGCATCTCCTTTGCCCCAAAGGACTGGTAGTAACTTACAGTAAGTCTAGAATAGTTACAAATCTATTGTCTATTTATTGTTTTTCTGATTTGCGTTATTTTTTGTTCTGCGGTAAAAATGGTATGAACATTGTCAAAACCTCTATTTTCAGAATTTTTCTTATTATAGTTTGTATTGCGATTTATTAAAAAAAAATGTTTAGAAGTTTTGACAAATATTTTCTTACCATTGCTCTGTTTAGTTACTGTCATGCATTCACTTCATGTGCTGCTTTTGTTTTCTATGTTGTTTGTATGCTTATTTTTTTTTCTTAATTTTTTTAGTTCATCATAGCTTGGATAATCCTCCTATAGTTGCAACCCATACAAATGGTAATTATTTTTGTTTAGTTTTGCTTCAACACAAAGGATTTTTATCACATGTTTGGCTTGATGCTGTATTCCATTATTTTATTATTCAAAACTATAAAATATATTCAACTCATGCGATAAAAATCTTTTGCAGCTTCACTCATTCCATTATCTGTGAGCTATTAGTTGTCATACGTTTGAATCAATCTCCTGTTATCCCAACAAAACAAGGTTAGTCGGTGGACCTCAGACTAAGAAAATTATTTAGCATTACCCCCTAACTAAATGGTTTCCGGTAAATATTAAAATAAAAAGAAAACACACCTATGCAGGTGCTTGGCTGGTAGGGAACCGAGAGCAGGAAGTCCCAGATGTATCCTGAAGGCAGAACCCAAAGTCAGAACCCAAAGATAGAACCCTCGAACAATGAGGGTTCACAAAAATGGGGAACTGCCTCGGACTATTCCTGCAGACGGTTCCCCTCAGCTCGATGGTTAAGCGTAGTTATTTCTACGGCTAAATCCCCAAGAGGATGAGAAAAAGGCTCGGACAAAACAACACCAATACCCTATAAATCCGCTACTATGCGCGTGAAATTAAATCTCAGTGTCGGGCAGTGGGCCGCAGAATTCCTACACCAGAGCACCGGAAAATAGCCCAAAGTTACCTTGGTTACGGTCGAGAGAAATTATAAAAAATGACCTCCAACGAGATGGAGAGTAGAGTACGATTTTCTCCCACAAAATTATTAGACCAAGAGAAGTGTTTTACTACTAAAAATAAAATTCGATATTTTTAAGAACGGCTTGTTATATTATTCTAAATAAGAAAAACGTAATTATCAAGATGTAGTTAATTTTTAGTTGACAATAAAAAGAAACTGTAGCACTCCGTATTATCGTTCCAAAGTATAAAATTAGAGATGTTGAATAAATGACTCTACTGATGCTTCAGCTGCCTGGATAGTCTTTTCAAAATACAAAACCAAAAAACGTAAAATACAGAAACGGTAGGCAAAAACATTCATCATATGGGTATCAATAAGTGGCTAGGACAAAGACATGATAACTTTCAAGGGGTACACATCATATGCTTAAAAGTTCTTTAATCATCTATCTTTTTATTATCGCAACTTTTACTCGGAAGCTTGACTTTTTGCCAATTTGTTTTAGTTTTTTTTAATTATATTCAAATTACCATTTCAGATGATATTTATAAATTACGTAATGTTGCAGTGACTACGCCACTGTTTACTGGGATCAGTGCTTCCAGAACTTATATTGATCCGCATACATACGAAGATCCCAATCAAGCAGTACGGGAATTTGCTCGAGAAATAGATGCAAGCTGTATTACCATTGAGGCCATTATAGGTAAGAGGAATTAATCAATTATTAGTTCGAAATCGAATCAAATAATTTTGCTCCGTTCACAATCATACTGGATATACAAAGTGTATCCTAAACATAAGTCAAACTTTTAAGCAGTACTTATTTCCAATGGGAAAGTTTTTTTTAGACAGGGGAAAGCTTTTATAGCCTCTCTTAGGCATCAAAACTCGACAGTGTCGGTCTATCGGCAGTTCTTGCTATTTTTTTTTTCTTTAGGCGGTGGTGAATTTGGGGATGTATGCAGAGGAAAATTAAAAATGAACGGAGTTGATATCGACGTTGCTATCAAGACCCTGAAAGCAGGCTCACTGGAGAAATCTAGGAACGATTTTCTCACAGAGGCCTCCATCATGGGTCAATTTGAGCACCCGAACGTCATTTTCTTGCAAGGAGTCGTCACAAAGTCAAATCCAGTGATGATTATTACTGAATACATGGAAAATGGATCTCTCGACACATTCTTAAGGGTATGTTTTTGAGCATAATATGCTTTTTTGCCGCTGTCCTAGTAATTTTAGAATCTTCATCATCCGCATATTATGCATCGCTTTCATTTTTTCAATAAAAATAGATACAAATTTTATAGAAAAAAACCGAATAACCCTACTGGGCTTCAAGAACACACTGTTGAAATTTTGGCAAAGTCATTGATTAACGTGTTCTCCAAGTGGAAACCCTAGGCTGTATTTAGACGTTCACACATAATTTCCATAGTCACAGCCACGTTGTCCTTTTATTAGTTAAAAACAGATTCCATTTCCCTTTTAAACAGAATGGTTTATTTTTAAACTGCTAAGATTATTATATATAAACTGCGTCAACAGTCGGAGAGGTGGCAACACTGGTACTTAAAGACGATACATTCAAAAAGCCTACCCTTACTTATTTTTTGAACGGGTCAACATTTTTGAAACTCCTTCTCTCCTTCTTTCAAAATAGTAGACTGACAGGCCGTCAAAATTGTTCACTGAGTGGCTTATATAATTCTACAAAAAGTCATCAAGACGCTACTGTATATTACATCAATCGTCTTCTTTTGACTGGTCCTAAATATTCTATAAACTGTGGAACAATCCATTAAAAAATGATCCAAATCGGCCAAAATATTTTCAACTGAATGTCTCATAATTATCTTATTTTATATTCAGATATACCATTTCAAAAGACGATTGACGATTGAAAATTAATTAATTTCTGAATTATTAGCGACTCAACGTACAAAAATGCTCAATTTTAACAATCCGTCAGTCCGCCATTTTGAAAGATAATAAGTCTATATTTATAAAAATATTCCAAGACGTTATTTGATCCAATATGAATGTTAATGCACATAACTTTGTTGGCATAATCCCGACTAGATATGGACATTTTTAGGAAATCACACTTTTGGTTAATATTGGAAAAATAGCTGACTAATTTTTTCCTTGACTGTAGGCGAATGATGGCAAATTCCAAGTGATTCAACTGACAGGAATGCTGCGGGGTATCGCTTCTGGCATGCAGTACTTAAGTGAAATGAACTACGTACACAGAGACTTGGCAGCAAGAAACGTGCTGGTGAACTCACAGTTGGTCTGCAAAATTGCAGATTTTGGTCTCAGTCGAGAGATCGAAAGCGCCACGGAAGGCGCTTACACGACACGGGTAGGTATTTCGTTTGCTTATCGATTGTTTTTTGTTAGCTTATTATGCAGTATCTCAAACATATTGACTTAAAAATCTGCTTTTCGCGAGATAAGAGTAGCATAATTCCAAATATTTGATTTCCGATCTAACAATATTTATGTTATAAAATGTTAGAAAAATAATACTTTTCAGTTAATTGAGCTTATTGAAGAAAATATAAATATGCGAGGAAGTGGACATTTTTTTGAGATTCTGCATAGATTTTATTGGAGATGATAGCATTCATGAATTGTATAAGATCGAAAAAGCCATGTTTTGAGGAAAATCTATATGTGTGTGAATGCTACAATTTTCCGTTGAGACTTGATTAGCTTTTTTCCTCATTCACCACCGTCACCAAATCACAAATTAAAAATATATTCAATGAATCCTCCCTCATAGTGGTAACATCCTTTCATCTCACGATGTCGGTAACCATTATAATACATGCCCGAATGAATTTTTGAGAGATAAAAGCTCAATGCCTTTAAAGAACACTTTTAAAATGAGATGATTTTTGTGGTTTGAGTGACGTATGCAATCGATGTTGAACTTTATGTATTGAAGTATGGGGCTGTTTTTTTATTTCTACTGTAAGTTGTTTGCAATTGGCATGTTTATTTATCTGTTAGGTTTGTGCATCCAAAATTTTATATGCGTGTTGTTTCAATGAGCTTTTGAATGCGAAAATTTGGACAAGCTGAAGTTTGCTGTATACAAATACAAGCATCCGCCCAAGGCGTGTCTACTCACTATCAATATCATCATTCTAACAAGTTATTACCATATTAAGCCAATCTCAATTAAAAAAGAAAATACAAGATGGGTTGAAAGGTATTGTGTAAATTGACTGCCACTACTTTGGAAATGAAAATATGGGCTGTTTCACAAAAAGTTCGAGTTGAAAAACAGATGACAAGCGTGTTTCATGGTATTTTGAATTGAAATGAAATACCTGGCCTGTGTTGTTGCGGTAGAACCAATACATCAAGAAGCCCCAAAGAATAAACCTAGCGTCAACACAGTGGCGTAGCAAGGGGTGGCGGGGCGGTGGCGGTGCGCACCAGGTGTCACCTTTTTTGGGGTGACACCCACCCGGTGACTCAACTTTTTCAGAGTTGACCTCCAGACAAGGTCGAAGTCTCTTCTAGACCTAGCTTCATTGTTTGAGATCGTACAAACAAATACTTCGCTTTTGGCGAATACTGAAGAACTGAAATTAGCTACATCTAAATTTACTGATTTTTATGATAAGTCTCAGAAACAGAATTACTTTTGGAGATACCAAGACTGCGAAGACACTTGAAAGCCGCTAATGTTACAGTTTCTAATTGGGGATCTCTGGATTTTTTAAAGTTTATTGTAGCATGGGATTTTACAGAATCTCTTCCAAATCTTATCACTGCACTAAAATTCTTCATGACGGTTTGCCTGTCCATAGTTTCCTGTGAAAGGAGTTTGAGTAAACTAAAATTAATAAAAAACTATTTGCGGGCAATGATGACCCCATCGCGGCTTAGCAATCTTGGTACATTAGTTATCGAACACGAGACAATACAAAATATAAATTTATATGAAGTTATTTCTGAGGTTGCAACTGTCAAAGCTAGAAAGAAGAGATTTTAATTGTAAGGAACAAATATTTTTTCTGCCTTAGTTTTAATTGTGTTTTGTTATTTGTTCAATATTTTAAATATAAATATTAAATGATCCATGACGTTTATAAATCATATAAAATTTATTGCTGTTGACTTTCGATGGGGTGATACCACCAACTTCTGCACCGGGTGCCACCCAAGGCAGCTACTCCACTGCATCAAAAGTAGCCCATTTTTTATTTCCAAAAAGATGGCAGAAAATTTACATTAAAATACTGTTTTTGCTCCTGCCCCATCTTGTACATTCATTGGAAAATTGATGGCTTAACTCTCGAACTAGGTGTACAGTTATCTAAAATTTATTTCTGAGTCATTTGAAGAATTTCAAAATATATAACTGTCGGAGTATTCAAAATAATTAAATTATTTTAAATGTCTGATCAAAGTGTAGTGAGAAAAGCCGAATATCTCGATATACATACCTCTAAATACAATGAATACTCGAAAAAATCCAAATTAGATGCAGCTTTGATCCAATTTTGCAGCAAACAAACTATATTCCGTTAAATATCAAATTCAGAGATAAAAAGACGGGCCCTTAGTGTACCCAAGTATCGTTGAGAACTCTCTGGCATTTTGTAGGGTGGGAAGATCCCTGTGCGATGGACGGCACCGGAGGCGATAGCCTTCCGCAAATTCACGTCTGCCAGTGACGTATGGTCGATGGGCATCGTTTGCTGGGAGGTCATGTCCTATGGCGAACGGCCCTATTGGAACTGGTCTAACCAGGATGTTATTAAGAGCATAGAGAAAGGTTATAGGTAAGTACAAGCTTTTCAGGTGCTCATATTTTATAATTCTGATTCCTCCAAAAAACGACATCTCTTGAGAGATTGATTACATTCAAACATTATCTGTCAAGTAGACTGAGAGGTACTTCCCACTAATTGATATGAATATATTCAAAATGTTAAGTATACGATAAATTTATCAAATTTTTCCTATATCCTAAAATGATTAGAAAGCTGAGAGATGTTTAGAAACGAGGTTCAAAATTAAAAAAAATCTCAAAATGAACTACACCCAAACATTATTTGACACTCGAAAAGCATCGAGATACAAAGATTTGGGGCATAACTTTTTTCATTTTTCACTCTGCCGCTACCGGATTCACTATGAAAACCGTTAACGCTTTTCGGTTGTTATGTATACATGCTAAGAAACATCCCAAACATGTAATACTTCAATTACAATTTTTCTCCCGATTATAATATTTTCTTGCTGGTTGACGTAAGTTGTAAATGAGACAACAACTAACATTGTACATTTCTTACTTATTGTTTCTGACGCTAATTCAAAAAGATACAAGTAAAAGATTTTGATGATTGAGCTAGGAAAAAATCAAGCTGGGAAGGAAGTTTGTTCTTTGTTCATGTCGAGCATTCAATTTTTTTTATTTTCTCCTTCGGGACGTAATACAAAGGTAATTTATATGTCAATTTTGTCAGCCAAAGCTACTTGACAAATACTATAACTACAGCTTAGATAACAATCAGCTATGAAATTGTCCTGACAGTGTCAAAAACGGCCGCCATTTGGGCGGAGAAAGTCAAATGTAAATTCCTCCAGTACAACAATGAAAGAGGTTTTGGTGCTCAGCAGCAGCCGATGTTGCCTCGTATCATGCCAACGGCCGCAGATATTATTTACAATCTTAAAACGAGTGTACCGACTGCTTCTGAGTACTAAAAACTCTTTCATCATTGTACTGGGGGAATTTACATTCGACTTTCTCCGCTTTTGACACTGACAAGAGAGTTTCATAGATTGTTATTTAAGCTGTGCTATAACTATGACATACCTTTCGGTTAGGCTATCAGTCAAAAGTGTGCCAATGCCTTCTGTGAACCTCAGATTCTTTACTATCGAACTTTGGTTTAACATGAATTTGAAATCTGAAAGGATATAATTTTTTATGATGTGTACCTCGTAGAACATCTAAAAAATGTATCAGATCGAATTCGAAAATTTCAACGCTTTCAATGCTCCTTTCGTGCAAATAAATTACTGGCTGACATAATCTTGTCCTTATTTTTAGGTTGCCAGCACCAATGGATTGTCCAGAAGCCATATACCAGTTAATGTTAGATTGTTGGCAGAAAGAAAGGACGCATAGGCCAACTTTCCAATCAATTGTAAAAACCCTAGATAAATTAATACGAGTCCCCGATACGTTACGAAAAATTGCTCAGAATCGGTAAGTTCTATGTTGTGAGAACACTAATACATTGTTTAGAAAATATATACAAAAACGAAAGGCGTTTAATACATATACTTTTCAGTGCTTGAATAGTAGCCGATGTTGCATGAAAAATAGGCAAATGTTTCTTCATCAGTTTTTGAAATATAGACGTGAAATATAGTTGAAAGATCATATCCAAATTAGCATGCATATCCGCTTTATGCTCTGTATTTTTTGTTGTGTGTATCGATGTTTATACTGACGTCACATATAACACATTTTCTACATAAACGCATAAACTTATAATCATTCATATAAAATTCGTGTTTTTAATCATCACCTACTATCTTTACTACCTCACGGCTCCAAAATCATACTTAACCTGTTTTTCATCTAATAATTCTTTGGTAGAATTATTTGAACAGTAATTTTGTAGTTCAAAATTCTCCCACTAAAAATCTTAATAACAACCATCGGCATATAAACAATGATAATATTAAAAATTAATTTTACACTATACCACACAAGTAAAGGAGGTTAAAAGCAAAGAAGAAAATTTTTACATTAAACATTTTTCAAATCAGGTCAGCTAAATAAAAAATAAAAAACCTCACTTTCAATAGTATATAACGGAGTTGATCATTCGACGAATTGGACATAATGACGTACTAACGAGTAAAATTTGCAAAGGCAACCTCGTGACGTGGTCATTCACAAGATATAGAGCAATATGAAATTCGTACGAATCCAGAGGTGCATATAGAAAATATTTTTGAGGGTTCTATATGATGAATTTAAAATGACTGACTCAATAAAGCACGTAGGGAGGGGCTCGGGATTCATGTTCATGAAGATGTGCGTCTCGGGTGGAAGGACATCTGCGATTGAAAATTGAAGAGCAGGGATCCTCTGCAAATTGAAAAACATGTTCGAATTTTTTTAAAACTCGCGTATTTCATGGAGGCGGACACCTCAGAACGCCCTTATACGAATCTGACATACAAAGTGTCAGTATGTACGCAGTTTGCGGTTAGTGATTGTTGAAACGTTTGATTCATCTGAAGCCTACGTACTGTTGCTGTCGCTTTGCAAGAATTCCACCGATCGACGACGATAAGCATCCCTAAGACTGATATCAAAAATAGCATTTTCAGCGACTGTTTGAATATACACGCTTTGTACGAATCATCAAAATATGAATTCCGCAAATTGGATTTCTTCGAATTTCAGAAAAACAGTCATGTTTGCAAATGTCACTAGCCAAATTCGTCTATGGTTCACTCCTAATACTTTTCAAACAAACGACATTTTCGATTGCTTTTAACCTCTTCACCTCATACCAAACAAACACAACGTTTCTCTATTTGTTTTTCTCCTTATTCTTTCTAGCCGCCTACTGCCATCACACATTCTCCCTAGGCCCACACAACCCACCGTTTCGCCCCCTCACTTACCACCAAACCACCCATTATCAGAACCATCCATGGCTCATCTACACCAGAACCCATACTTTGGTTCGCTCCAGCGGCGTTTGAATTACGCGCCAAATATCATAGATGCGCACCCTTACTACGGCCTCCCTGATGTGCTGTTACAAAACTACGCGGTCGTGTCTGATGAGGCATTTGAAGAAGCCGAGTACCGGAAGCAGTTAGAGAATGAATACAGGAACTCTTTAATTGAACATGAAATGAAAAAACGGTTCAGCAGCCTGTTGAATCTTAGGGAGGAAAACATATGCAACGGTCTAGAAGACCCTTCGCGCTTGAAAGAACTCAACCTAATGCCTGGGAGCAACTGGATGCCAAACTTTGAGTCGCCTTTAGAGCAAATCTACCAAAGAAGACAAGGCAACTACGGTTCTCCTTACTATCCGAATCTGGACCCGCAATTTCTAGAACTGCAAAATAGACCACAAGAAACTTTAAGAAATTCGTTCTTCAACGAACAAGATGAATACGACCAGGAAACAGAAAACTTCTTCGGTAAACGTCCGAATATCTTTGAAAATACAACAAAATCAAGTCAAGATATTGACAAAAGACAAAACAAGGATCAATCTAAAAGTAAAAGCAGTAATTTGCTAGAACTGGGCGAGGAACAGTTCTCTGATGATTTCAAAGATGGGTCTGATAGAGTGGAAGGTTCTGATAATTTATTTGGTGGTCAGGATGCAAGGGGTGAAAGTAGGAGCACAGTAGAGGATAGAAATGCACAAACTCGGGGAGCTTGGGTCAATTTTAATAATCTGTAAATATGCTTTGAGCTGTGGTTTTTGTTTGCAAGGTATTTGTTTTTTGCTTTTATTTTTTTTACTGCATGCAATCTCTGTTGTACTAGTATCTCAAAAATGGAAAAGCTCTTATCCTATTTTATTGAAACTCTTTAACTTCTGTAGGGCTTTTTACATCTGAGGAAAACCTCTTGGAATGTGATATTCTGAAATTTTCTAACATTGGAGTACTTAAGCAGATTTGTTAGCCCACTTTCTAAAATTTGTAAATTCTGATAAGCACAGACCAAACATGTATTTTTAAACCGATATAAAATTTTTTTGAGATATACAGTACAGCACTTACACGAGCTTTTTGATAATTAGTCATCTGTCATTTTTCGTGTTAACGCAGGCCATACTGAAATATTTCTTCTGTGTAATAATAAATAATAAATAATAAAAGGTGTGCTTTAGCAATAAAACGTAATATATCGTTGATATAACAGGTTGCTTTGCAAATGAATAGCTTTTTTCTTTGCAGTGTTACTAACACATTACGGTTTGTTTGAACTTTCTGCTCCGATGCTATGCATTACTGAATTTTTTCTAATATACTTTTTCAGCAGAGTTTTTGGAGCAGTTCCTTTCCTTCTCTCAAAAAAGTTTCTCGTGCGATGAAGCAATAGTCAAATACTCGGATTTAAGCGTCCAATATGGTTAATATGGTTCCATTGGAGCTAATATCATACCGGGGAATGGTAGGGCTCAGCATCTAAATGGATTTCCATAAAGGCAGCCCATATCGTGAACAGCTATCGGCAATCAGCCAGTTTATTATAAGGCCTGGATATCTAGAGTTCAGACAAAAAATGTATAAACGGATTTTACAACAATAAATATATTCTTGAGGATAAATGAGAAGATGCTTCCTCTAGTAATACAAAAAAATCTGCTGGGTAACTTTTTTCAAAGTTGAAAAAATAACTTTTGAAAAATCATGAAGTATTGGTAAAATTGCTTCAAAGAAAACTGAGAGCATGAAAATACCTTTAAAATTAGACATGTATTCAACATTATGTTGCGGTTAATTCTTTATCCCAATAATCGCTTAACTTCCAAAAACTGCACAGCAGAATAAAAACTGTGTGGTGATTAAGATCCAGAAAAAATTTCATCAAAAATACTCGACATTTTCTTAAAATTCATGATAATTGCTACTAACTTGTGTTATTAATAGTAGTCATTTTTTACGAAGTATCTAGCCGCTGCAGCAAATTATTGGCACGCAGGGTGTCATTTTGTCGGCCTTTTTATCCTTCATAACTAAACGGTTTATACCAATACTTCATAGTTTCATATACGCGAAGTGATTTTACCAAATTTGACGTTAAATAAAAGTTACCCAATTTTTTTTTTTCTGTGCCTCTAGACGAAATCCCTATCCCCCTTAACAATATATGTAGTTGTAAAATCTGTCTATACAAGTTTTTTAATATATACATGATGTTACACAGTCTCTCAAAACGTAAATATGAAGTAAATGTATGTAGGAAATTTTCCAATCACCTGATACGAGGTGTTAAAACTTTAGTGAAAAATTGTAGGCCCATTTTTGCAAAAATACTTGTCAGCCCCTGAAAGTCATATTAATTCTGCTTAAAAAGTGTTTCTCGGAGTTTTTGACACTCTGATGCACTGGTTATTAAAATTTTAAAAACGAAAACGGAAAACTTCAAAAGGCAAAAGCCATGATTCATCACATATAGATAGTATCTATTAGATACTGATATTAAACTTTTCAAAAACTAGCCGGTCCGAACGCTACTGATGTAAACGCATATAAAAAACAATTATCAAGAAAAGGCTAGTATTTTTATCAGTCTTATTCTTTTGGAAGGATCTATTCAAATATAATCAAATATGGAACATTCTGTTGATAAAAATAAAAATCTGTCAATCTTTTTAATCTGCATGTCCTATATTTTATTGTACATTCAGACCGACCCTACAAACCCTTAGAGAAGTCGAAGATTTAAGCGATTCAGTAAATGAGAAGAATCAACTATGATAGCCTGGCAATCTGCTATTTTGATTTTATATTCCAGGGTTGCCAAGGACTCATAATGAGATTCAAATTGAGGTATCACACGACTCCTCACTTCGTTTAAAAAAGTGCTATAAAATGGAACCCAACCGCCATATTGTAATTTTCATCTGCCACTTTTACCCTAAAATATAGTATCAATGCATTAATTTCATTATCCCGAATTTCAGCTTGCTAACTTGGCCCGTTCGAAAAAATGATGTCGTCCAACGAATTGTAAAATAAGTTAGATTAAATAAACACACCGACTCCACAGTTTACAACTACGTATGCTTCATATGCATTCTATAAATATGTCTATTCAAATTTCAGAACGAACAACCCCCTGTCAGCCGACGCGCCCGATCTCACAAACTTCTCATGCGTCGAGGAGTGGCTGAACTCCATAAAGATGGCGCGGTATCTTGAGAACTTCCACGCTGGCGGCATAACCACAATGGACGCCGTCATCAACTTGACAGTTAAGGAGTTGACAGAGCTGGGCATCACGCTAGTCGGTCATCAGAAGAAGATCATGAACAGCGTACAGAGCATGCGAGCGCAGATACGAGTTAATGGATCGGAAGGATTCCTTGTATAAAGCAGAGGCGCTTAGTGAGAATGAACTTTTGAGAATTCGATAGTTGATCGACGCACAGTTGGATAAATAGCTCGTTTTTTTTAGAGAAGCCGTACCCGAAATTCTTCGAACGCATTTACAGCTTGACAAAATCAGCTTGGTCTGTGAAGAACAGACAGATGACGATCACTGAATAGGGCCGATTAGAGGCAAGAGGAATTTTTGCTATATATTGTGAATGTGCTTAAGTCCTCCAAAGATTTATGAAGAGCGGGGGTGCTCAGGGGGAGAGACAATCTTCAAGCTCCAAAAACAAAAAATGTTCACCTGCAAGGGAAGCAGAGGGACTCTGGCCCCCTGAATCTGGTTTCACCTTAAAATTTGCAGATTTAGCATGATTTTATGTACCCCTGAGAAAACGTTCTACCCCTAAGCTCTGCGAAGTGTTTGGGGCAGTTACACTTTAACAAAAAGTTATCTCTCATCGCCAATGCGCAAAAAAGCAGTCCTGGATTAAAATAAAGTTGACGATATTGAGTCAAATATTAACTAGTAAAATGCGAAAATGTTAACGATATATAAAGCGGCGAAGTTAAATTTTCAAAATCGATTTTTCTTTATTATTACTTCTGATCGTGATATCGACATGAATATTGAAAATCTATTTTCCAACATAGTTTAGTTGTAGCCTATAAACCTCACAATGTCATGCCACATTTTTGGCCAACACAGTTTCTATTTTCAAAATGCTGAATCATTTTACCCCTTAGTCAACTGGCTTGGAATGGCGGTACCTCCAAGAGTAATGGCGTTGTGGAATACCATATCAGCCTTATTTTTTATCGATTCTTAGCGAAATTGTTCACAACCAGCCATTTGAATGTGCGATAGAATGTTCAAATGCACACAGGTCGAAATCGGCTCGATTCATCAAAATAAATGTTTAGTTTCCATTTCACTTGAAAATCATCGCTCTATTATAATAATTATAAAAATAAAAAAATCATGAAATGGTCAGAAAAAGAAAAGAAAAAGAAACAGCTATTTAGATACTTTATTGAAATATCTTATTGCTCACAAAAAAAGTTTGAGCTATAGACAAATACCGATGTCGAGAAATGACCTCCGATGCCTTGAATCTTATGAGAGAGAGAGTATTTAGGCTTTTATTTGATTTAATATCATTTCCACGACCTCAATCCAGGATTTCTTTTGGTGCATTTATTTTGAATCACCCTGTCAACGGCTGTAATTCTAGTCTGGGATTGAAAAAGATACTGTAAGTGCAATTTGGAACTCATGACATATTTAAAAAAATGAGCTGTTGATTTCTACTGTGCGGTGGTTGTCGGTTAGCGCATCCTGGCGATTTGCTGCCAAATGATGGAAATAAGTCTAGACTGATAAAAATCGAAATATCCCTGAATTACATACGTAAGAAAAGGCATTTTATGTAATTTCAACAATGAGCGAAGATCGACACGAGATTCATAGTTTGGATACACTACTAAAATGCACCTATTTTAAAATGGTTTTACCTCTTTTGCCACATCATTCAGACCTTTTCCTAAATACAACGTCCAGGAAGCGCTGATCTGCAATCGCTAGAAAAGATTACGCTAGGTGACTATTTTGTGATGAAAGACTTTTATGACAGTGACGTTATAGTGTATTTAACTCGCGGCAGCTTTGCTTTATTTATTTTATCCCAAACAAATCAAAATATAAACTTGAATATGGACTTATATACGTTTTTGAGATTTTTATTGTGATTTATCGAATAGTACCTAGTATTTTAACATAACCATAGCAGGTTGACAATACAGTTGTATGAGATATCTCTATGTTATTATAATTATTCCCAAAGTAGTTGTGGTACGTCGGCATTCAGACTTTGCTCCAATAACAAAAAATAATCATTGTCTGCAATAGAGGTTCAAGTCAGAATGAAAAATCGAATCTCTTCAGTATAATATGAAGCGTATCAACAAATAAATATACCCGTCCATAACAATAAATCACACAGAAGTGAAGAATATTGTAATTTTCAAATCAATATTTGACATGATACTACTTCCAAGAATTCTTGTGTAAAACAATGATCGTTTTTATTTCATTCAACTGTGTTGTTGTTCTATCGAATATATTGCCAGTTACTTCAACTAGTTTTTTTTAAAAAAGAATAGTAGAAATGATCGGCATTGTAAAATTAGAAAAACCTGCTACCTTCTTTACTTTTTCCACGTAAATTTTCTATGTTGACATTTTTTATTTATTGCCATATATTGTACCTTAAAAAATTGTGGAGTATGATTTTTTTTTTTGATGAGGTAAAACTTTTTAAGTTCCATGTGGACAAAACTGAAAGGAGAGAACACCAATACAAATTTGCTTATAGCCAAATATAATCAAAACAATGTTATTTTTTCACATATCACGTTAATACTATATGAAATATTTATTCAATTTTCTTGTTTCTGGGAATGCAGAGTACAATTATTTGTTTTTCTATTGAATATGTGAAAATTAGCTAGAGTCAGTGTAAGATTTGTCCGTAGATTAAAAATATATAAAGACTGTTTGTCTAAATAATTCTAAATATACATAAAGAAATATAGCAATAACTTGATATCTCAATGCTGATTCTGTTAACAAGATTTTACAAAATTTTACTGACAAAAGTACAATATGAAAACTAGTAACCATTTTGACTGTTTGATTACTTGAACATAAATATATAAAATATGCCTTTTGCTTGTCATTGGTAAATTATTTCAGTCGAAATGTCTACTGATTTTTATAATAGTACAAAATACAATCATATTTGGTGTGATATTTCGTTTGTAAAAAAATCCGTATGTATTGGGCGTTTTCAAATTCATTAATAAATTTGATGTCTAACTTAACTTTTATAAAAAATGGAAATATCAGTCAGAATATTTGTATGTAACTGTAACTGTACTTAGTTTTTTATACTGCTCAAAACAATATATACATACGCCTAATTGTATCCAAAAAATTATGTTACATATATTTTAGGTAACATATAATTGACTGAGAACATATTCTGTATAAACGATCATACAGTATTTCAAAAAATTTCATCAATTCAAAATACCCTTTTCTCGACCTCCGAGTTGTGGTGATTTGCGTTTCCAAAAATCTAGAAAATATGGCATAACTGATAGTAATAGTTATAATATACCAGACTTTTTTGAAATACTGTATATATTTTTCTTTTCACAGACATTCCAGTAACACTTGTATATTGTTTGATACTTTTGTAAACACAAGGTTTGGTTCTAATTTGTCTGTACTGATTATTGAAATATTTATATTTCAATTAAAATCCCCATTTTCTATTTATGACATATTTGCATTCAAGAATGTGAAAGGTCCATGAAAATAAAATTCGATGCATCCAAAAATATGTTACAAAAAAATGCTATTTTTTTAAAGGTTTTGAGTTTTGAACTGCAAATAGCCGCAAACCACTGAAATCCCTTTGTAATTTAGGTAGATTTAGATAAATTTGATGTAAAAATTTCCAGTACTGCAAATTAGATACCAAAATTTTATTAAAAATTGTATATCTACTAATTTTATTTGGCATTGACTAAGCCTTGATGCGCGCGTATGTGATGTGTGATTGCACCAAGTTGAAAAACATTTTCTTTATTTGTTTTAGAATTTAAGCTAAAATGATTCTGAAAAGTATGTGATTTATTTTGTGTACCTATATTCTATTTTGACTGATCTTGCTGTATGAACAGCGTTTATGTATATTATTTTCCATTATGAAGAGGTTTTATTAAAATTGTACATTGTGTTACAGAAAAGATTCATCTACTTTCTAAAACATGAAAGCAAATGTTCTGTTGTACAATGTACGTGAAAGTGTTTTTCAATTTTTGATTCTGTAAAATGTGTAGTATTCAAAACCACAGATGTTTTGAATACTGCATAATTGTACTATTTTTTCTGTAATGCTCTGAGTAAGTCAGTGTAAAATTGTAATATAATTGTAAAATATAAGATATTCAATAAAAAACAATATTAAATATAATAGCTAAATATTGTTTAATTACCAAATTACCCGAGTACTTATAGTAAAGTGTCGTTTACTGCCCACTAAACACAGTTATATAAATGTTACCTAATAATACATTTCTTTGTTACTGGTTATGTAAAAGTGAAGTAAACACTCAATTCAAATAAGGTAAGGATGAACCTAAAAACTGGTCAAAATGTCCAGAACAGTTTACCTCTATAACGTATGTGTTTATGTAAATTCATTTACGTTATCTCTACCGAAATATAATATTTACATATGACTGATATGGTTTGGTTATATCATATTTATGTAATTTCCAATGTAATATTTATATGCACGAGTTGACGTAATTATTACATCAGCCATTTATTCCATTTCATTCAACTGCCCAATAAATAAATCCATAAAATTGAGGAGAAAAAAGTTTATCGGCTATTCAACCAACTTGGTCGCTTTTTTCAAAGTACAAAAAAAATCTTTATAAATGGAGAAATTGAAAGGACCACCAAGGTAGCTGAAACGTTTCGAAAAATATATTAACAGCAGTTTACTTGAAAAATTAATATTTAAATGGTGTTAATTTCGCCTGCTGCACGTCATGTATTAAATTGTATACAGGGTGTAAACATTATGCTAGTCATTATTGAAATGGGTAATAGGGGGGGTCAAAACCAGTCAAAAAGTTCATATGACCAATGGTCCAAAGATATTTGTCTAAATGGCTCTATAGTTTACAACTTTAGGTGCTTTATATCGACCACAATCTCACTAATTTTTATAATCTAATCTAAAACGTTTTTAAATTGGGTAATTACCAAATAAATGACATCAAGTTTTTCTAAGTTAAGCAGACATTTGTAGTCAGTAAGTAAGGACGTTTCAATAAATTAAATATTTAAAACACACACGACAACAGCGCGTCGGCCTTTCATCACTCTTATCAAACCGGCAATCGATCGCAAACGGTAACAGTGGCTAGTTATCAGGCATCGGGCGTGTTGTTTTGGTTTTGTTCGCGTACGTCGTCGTGTTTATTTACAATGTTCTCGAATCAAGAGTTCGCCGACATGTTAGTTTACGGTGAAGCTCGTCAGAATTCAAATCTTGCAGGTCAAATTTATCGCGACAGATTTCGCCAACGGGTACACCCAGACAGAAGGACATTTGTGCAAGTGTACCAAAGACTTCGAGATACAGGAAGTGTTCAACCCACTAATATTCGCACTCGTGGAAGACAGGTTACTGGAGGACGAACAAATTTTAAATGTCGTGGAAATCAATGCAGATATGATCACTCGGGAATTAGGCCGCCGCGTAGGACTATGGCATACTATAGTCCATAGAATCCTACGGGAAAATTTGCTTTATCCCTACCATGTACAACGAGTGCAGACCTTGTTACCAGAAGACTATCCTCGCAGACTGACATTCTGTCAGTGGTTTTTGCACAAAAACAACATTGAAAATCCGGATTTTTTTAAAAACATTCTAGCCACAGTATATTAAATTTACATAATACTCACATGGGGCCCAAGAAAATCCTCATACCATTCGTGAAGGTCATTTCCAACAACGTTTTGAATTAGATATTTGGGCGGGTATTCTTGACGATCAGGTAATTGGCCCTTTCAAGTTACCCCCCCCCCCCCCCAAAGTTGTCAGGAGAAGGGTACCTTATCTTTCTAGCCGATAACCTACCAGAACTTTTGGAACAGACCTTAGACAACATTCCACTACAACGGAGACAGAATTTGCGGTTTTGTCATGACCGGGCACCACCACACATTTTCAGAGGCGTCATTCAGTATTTGAATGAACATTATTATAATATACAGGGTGACTTTGAAGTTGAGTCATTAATTTTCAGATAATGATTGTAGAAGGAAGATAAACCAAAATATGTGTGTAAAAGTAAAAAAAATTAAAAAAAATTTTTTACCTTGTTTTATAAAGTATCCTCCCGACAAGTATTTCAGTGCGGACCTGTATTTGATCGTGAGGTCCCCTGTGAGGTCTTAAGTCACCTGATTCACGAGCCCGTTGTACTACATTAACAAAGGCACGAGGGGTTGGTTGCACTCGATTGGGAAACCGATCCGCATAAACATGTGCCATTTTTTATTTCGTTTGAGCCACGCAACAGACACTATTCACACGCGACACTGACACTGACTGTATGTATAACTGAACTGAATAAAATAATAAACTGTACACAAACATCGTTCCAAATTCTTTCGCTTTTTTGTTTCCGATGCGATGAACCGGTAAGGCGGATTATATCCGTTGTTGCCAAACACGAGCACATGATATTGAGACAGGGCGGTACTCAAACTTCCAAAGGGCTATAACTTTGTTACTTTAATTTTACCAGAAAAATGGTAAAGGAAAAAAACATTTCTTTTGATCAGATCTATTCACTGTTAAAATAAATGACTCAACTTCGAAGTCACCCTGTATATATATTGGGCATGGGGATGGGGATGGTTTATGGGGCTGGTCCAATAAGAACTGAAGCACAATTTCGCGAAAAAAATTTTAATACGGCTGAAATAATAAATGGACACCTTCGAGGACCTAGAGTAATAAGAAACTGGGTTCGTCGTAATGAAGCTTGTGTGGAAAGTGGAGCACGACATTTTGAACACCTTCTTTAAATACAAAAAAGTGCAGTGTGGGTTTTAAAATGTATGTATCAAAATTGTGTTCGCTATTTATAACCAAGTGAAGCGCTGAGACAGCTAGTGGTAAGTCCGTTTTTTTAATTGTTTGCATTTTACGTGTACATTATCAAATAATGAAATAATACGTAAGAGCCAAAAATAACCAACTCCATCTTTATTTACACTGCGTTCCGTCGTAATTTGCGTCGGGCATTGCGGCGTTGTCAGATTTTATTTTACTTTGAAGACGCTTTTCTCTAAAAAAATGCTGTTTTGACCCCTATGTTATATGAAAGTTTTTGCTTCTTTTAAGCCCCTCTATCACCCATTTAAATAATGACTATCATAACGTTTACAAGTAGTGTCACTGAGGCTCCCGCCACAGTATTAGTAATTATGGTAAGTGTAAATTTATTGCAAGGCCTTCTCAAGCAAAATAATCTCAAGTAAATCATGCTGGAAGACCCTTCCTAATGAGACATTCATGTTTTAGGACTGTTAGTCAAACAAAAGGTTTCAGAACAAATATGTATATATACCAACCAACTGATCAGTGAAAAAAGCACTCAAGGCTCTGTTTGCAAAGTCCTTTTCATCCTTCCCTCCAATCGATTTGACGAAACTCACCTGAAAAGTTGTTGGTCGTGTATGAGGTGTTAATATTGCACACCTTCTTCAAACATCCAGAATCATTAACTATGGCTTGGAGTTCAAGCTGCTATTATAGAGCGTACAAGTAGACCATTGATATAGAAACAAAAACACTACTATTTAGTTAATGAATACATGAGTGGTGTTGATTTCTAGGTGTATGTTGCAGTATATTTATTTATTTTACCATATCTATTCTGCCTAATTGTTACTCAAGTAAAGTACCTTTTGATTTTGTATTTAAAGGTTACATGTATTGTAAATCAAAATATATGACAGAGGCTGACATACACTATTCTTGAGCAGCTGTGATTAGCAAAGCTAATGATGAAAAAAGCATTTACGTGAATCCACTTGTGTGCGTCATCAGCTTTGTTGCCAATAGACATGACATTTTGCTGAACATATGAAAATTGATTTATATTCTGGCAAACATTACTTTATGCAGGCATATTAAATTTCCAAAAACAAACGATACTAACATAATTATGTATCATGTATTATTGTTTCTGCTAATAACATTTTGTCAAAGCTTTCTACCATTTCGCATGACTTAAGGGGCAAACCATCTAAAAGACATTTAATATACTTTCGGTTGCTATGTTGCTAGTAGTGTCATGTAATTTTAGTGCAGTCACTGCTTTATTCAAGTTCTCCAACATTTTTTCCATTTTTATTACCTTCATGTAAATTTGGCCTGAAACATATAATGTTTAAAAATTGCTTAGTTTGAAGAAATCAAAAGATGCTATGATACAGGGTCGTACTTTCTTAAATATTGTGCACTTTGGGCACATTTAAAAACATCATCATGTAGAGTCATTAGTTTTTTGACATTTCTTAATATGAAGTCAGACAAAAATAAAAACGATTTGGCCAAATTTTTCTTTTTCTCAAACACCTCAGTATATGACTAATCTCTCAGTGTATTAAATGTGGGCTATTTATTTAAAAAACATAGGATGTCAACCCTAACACACAAGTAGATGAGTATGCAAAGCTCACCTTTGCTGCACATATATCCTGTTTCCCTCAGAAGACCTAATTTCCACTTTGGTGACACTTGACACCCACGTCACAATACGAAAACACCAAAGCACCACTGAGAGTCAATCGAGGCCCTATAGTGAACAAAACTATTAAAAAAAATAGCTTATCCGGACAGAGCTCTGCACGGAGCTGTGAACGCGCGGATATTCCGCTGCGCCGACGGTTGCCGAGAGGCTGAAGCGTGTGAGTGCTGTACCTCGCTGCGGAGATACAGTACGGCCGGGTAGTACATCCACGCCCCTTTCCTGCTCCTACTCCGCGCGAACATAGAAAGCTACTTTTTGAGTCACACCGGGAAGTAAAAAAAAGTTTTTAGTGCTGCTTCGTTTGAAAAGTAATGTGTGCTACATGGACAGAAAAGTCCAACCTGCGGGAAAATGTTACAATAAGATCTTTAGTGCCCGTTGTTTTATCCAAAACCGTATTATTTATGGAATAGTCAAAGATAATCTTGTTCATTTTGCGACTATATGAACATACTTTGCACATGGAAATCTTTAAGAAGAGAAAGTTACTGTCACACCACTGTGTGATAGTATCTATTTAGATATCTATCCTCCTGGAGGGAAATACAGTTTTCTAAATTTGTAATTTTGGTGTAGATTTTCAGATCATCGGCAAATGGTATATTGTGACTTTAGTGAAGCGGCAAGATATGTATGAAGAATAAAAACAACAAAGGGCTTAGGTTCAATCTTTGCGGCATGCCAGACAAAACAGTATAATTTGCTAAGCAATAACCATTATAATGAACATATTGCGTTCTGTTGGAACGATATGAGCTTACTGGGAGACTGATTAACTAAGGCCAAAGTAATGAATACTATCAACTAGAAGATCATGGTTTAACTAATCGAAAGCCAGAACTCATGCTTATAGCTTTAAGAGTAGGTACATCAGATTTAACACCATATTTAAGGACCGGACACACCTTTGCTATTTTCCAAATATTAGGAAAATTTCCAGTTTTCCATATAGTTGTGTAAATTATCAGCATCGGCTTGACAAAAACATGAGCACAATCTTTAAAAATAAAACTAGGTGTTTGATCTTTACCAGACGTAAGATTATTTGGAAGCGGATAGAGATTTCAGTACATTAGCATCCGCTAATTCCCTAAAGTCTGATTTACTACTCTCACCCTAATTTATAATAACACTTGCAACTAATTTATTGCAAATTTATAATAACCATATCGACTGGACTATTTCATGTTGATTTGGCGCTGTTGCTTACTCATCCTCCGCTGACGGCTATGGGTCGAAGGTGTCTCGCAAAGTTCTAGTTACCAGGACATTACAATACTCATATAGCATTGACAAAAAAATGTTAATAATATGGATGAATGTTGTCTTCGAAACATTTATTTTAGAAAAATACAAGTTTCGTCCAAAACTATAGTTTCGTACCAGACACATCAGAAAATCATATTCCCAAACTAGCTTTGAGCACTACAGATCAGGTGTTACTTCTTCTCCAGTTTTTCCAGGCACTCATCAAAATCGGCAAAATTCCACGTCATTTCAGGAGCTTCGTTTTTAAGTTTCGGCATTTTGGATAACTTACAAGGATAAGGTTCATTCCTGAAAAACTCATGTTTCAGCGCCTCTCTAGCTGTTAAACGCCTTATTCCATTATAAATCAAAATTTTACTTATCAAGGAAACAGTAGAAGAGTCTGCAGTAGAAAGTATGATTCTCCAACTTTTCGGAGTGCTTGGAGTGAATACGATCTTGTTGTAATCTGGTAGTTCTTTGAGCTCTGGCCACGTTTCATCGTTAGGAGTACCCAACGTGTCAAGAACAATAGCTAGTTGTTCAATATCAGTTTCACCCTAAAATAGACATAGTCTTATTTTGGTCTCTTCAGTTCCCATTTATGCGTACGATCGACCATGAACAAATGATTATTACGTGGTGTGGCAATTAATTTCAGGAATTTGTCAATAAAAAACAAGCTAATAATTTCGGGCAAAATTTTTATTATCAATCTTCACAATAGTGTTTCTTGAACTCTACGCAATTATTCCGATGTTCCCACAATTGTAAACACCCTCAATAATCATCCGAAATTAACAATTTGGGATATATTATTAGTGCGACAATATTTAAAATACTTTTTCGCACAATAAACGAGAAACGGCTGAAACTTTTTGGCATAATCTTTTCAAAAATCTTTCACGTCTTCAAATTCTCGTGTAATATCTTGCGCGCAGTTTTTCTGTTGTTGATGTTTGTAACGGGAACTCTTTCAACGTTTTCTTCATCACTCTTACAGTGAAATATACTCAGCTACTGAATAGTAGCATTTTTCATTTTCTCGGCTCTTTCTTGCACCTATTTGGGCATCGGATACCTTTTAGTATTGATAGCAACTTCTTGAATACCTGGTGATTTTTAAAACACTGACAGTGTTTGCGAAGGTATACTCAGGTCTTGTTTTGCGCTAGTGTACAGTTCGTGTAGAAGACACTGTTTTGTAGAAACTGGCCCCTGTGATTGAAGGTATAGAGGGCGTATTTATAAATATATGCATATATACACAATATCGTTAACAAGCAATTATGCTGAAATATTCTTCTAATGCTAAATATCAACCTTAAGATACGTTTCTACAAAAATGAACACCCTGCTTGTCCCAGACGATGGTGTGATTTGACTGATGTGAATACACACCATTACATAGGACACGTCTGTCAGCGCTGATTTGGGGTATTTGGCTCAAATTTCAATATAGCATAGCTATTCAGTTTCCAGTATACACTGTCAACTTTTGTTGCTACCAATTTAATCGTGTATCTAACTCAATGGCGGATTTAGAGAGGGGGCGAGTACTAAGAATTCCGGATGTAGGCTCACTCCACTCTCAGAATGTCCGGGTGGAGGGTGGACTCGACAACATCGAAGATAAAATTTGTTTCACGAACATCTGCCGGATTAACAGCAACACTGATGCTGTTCATCACTGCTTGCAATCCAATCGTCCCGCCATGCTTTTCTTGGCGGAGACACAAATCTCAGAGTCCGCACCGATTAACCATCTTAGCTTACCAAATTACGACGTGCACTCCAATCTGAGAAAGAACGGGGAAGTTATGGCCTTTGTCCGAAGCAGCTGCTGCAGAGATGTTTCTCTGGAATCAGACCGGAAGGACATTCTGTGGCTTCACCTCAACTCCAAAACATTCCCCAAATTTATTTGCTGCCTAAAGACTCGCTCCCCTCTTACCATAACTGGGACGACCTTCTTGAATACCTCGCCGTCAAGATCGGCTTCCTGAACATCAATCACTCCGCTTCAGAGGTAATTCTCCTCAGTGATTTCAATGGCCATAATTTGCTTTGGTTGGGCTCAAACAAGACCGATGCAGCAGGTCGTGCAGTTAAAGCGTTCGCTCTTACTCAAGGGCTGACCCAGCTGGTGACGGGCCCTACTTTTTTGGCCCGCGTCTCGTCACATGCCAGTATCCTGCTGGATTTCTTTCTGACCACGCATCCTGTCCCTTACAGCTCTGCTGTCCTGTCTCCCCTGGGTAACTCAGACCACTGTATTTTGGACGTTAGATTTCGGTCAGAACCCGCTGTTTCAGCAGAAACTCGCACAGGCCGCAAAATTTGGCATTACGGACATGCCGACTAGGAGGAGCTCAGAGACTTCTTCTCTACCTTTTCTTATTCGTTTTCGCAATCAAAGACATTGTTTTGAGTGGAATGGTCTGAGATATGTCTCGGGTCCCTCAAAATGTTTATTTATTTTTGTCGGCTAACAGAGCAATGAAGTTTTTTATGTTTGAATCTTTAATATTATTACACTAGATAATTATAAATGCCATGTACTTATTTTGTTCTCATATAATAAAATATTGGCTTCCTGAGAACTTTCCATGTTTTTTTTTCAAGCTGGCGTTGATAGAACACAATGGATTTAAAGAGCAATAATAGGATAAATTCTAGAAGTTCGACTGAGGTTAAAAAATGACCAGCCCCAAATATCGTTTGCGCCCCCCCCCCCTAGACGAAATCTTGAATCCGCCCTTGATCTAACTCAATACCCAGGAAGGTCGAAGAGTCAGAGATGGTACTGCTAGTAAGACGTGGGGTAAAAGTCAACAACTACCGTCTTGTCAGTATACAAGATCAGGCGATTTGTTTGGCAACATTCTCGTGTCTATACTCACCACCCGCAATCTTCAAGAAGTATCCAAAGAATAATTGAGCCAAGTTACAATATGCTGCTTGTTATGTGAGTTACTCCTTTCCCTAGGAAACTAAAAAAGTTATTTTCGATAGAAGTATGCATAAAATAAGTATACACTGTCAACTTTTGTTGCTTTCAATTTAATCGTGTATCTAACTCACTGGCGGATTTAGAGAGGGGGCGAGTACTAAGAATTCCGGATGTAGGCTCACTCCACTCTCAGAATGTCCGGGTGGAGGGTGGACCCGAGGGAACAACATTGAAGATAAAATTTGTTTCACGAACATCTGCCGGATTAACAGCAACATTGATGCTGTTCATCACTGCTTGCAATGCAATCGTCCTGCCATGCTTTTCTTGGCGGAGTCACAAATCTCAGAGTCCGCACCGATTAACCATCTTAGCTTACCAAATTACGACGTGCACTCCAATCTGAGAAAGAACGGGGAAGTTATGGCCTTTGTCCGAAGCAGCTGCTGCAGAGATGTTTCTCTAGAATCAGACCGGAAGGACATTCTGTGGCTTCACCTCAACTCCAAAACATCCCCCAAATTTATTTGCTGCCTAAAGACTCGCTCCCCTCTTACCATAACTGGGATGACCTTCTTGAATACCTCGCCGTCAAGATCGGCTTCCTGAACATCAATCACTCCGCTTCAGAGGTAATTCTCCTCAGTGATTTCAATGGCCATAATTTGCTTTGGTTGGGCTCAAACAAGACCGATGCAGCAGGTCGTGCAGTTAAAGCGTTCGCTGTTACTCAAGGGCTGACCCAGCTGGTGACGGGCCCTACTTTTTTGGCCCGCCTCTCGTCACATGCCAGTATCCTGCTGGATTTTTTTCTGACCACGCATCCTTTCCCTTACAGCTCTGCTGTCCTGTCTCCCCTGGGTAACTCAGACCACTGTATTTCGGACGTTAGATATCGGTCAGAACCCGCTGTTTCAGCAGAAACTCGCACAGGCCGCAAAATTTGGCATTACGGACATGCCGACTAGGAGGGGCTCATTGACTTCTTCTCTACCTTTTCTTGGAGAAATGTCTATTTCACTGACGCGAATGCGCCGGCTGTCTGTTCTTGATAACCGAAATTATTCATGTCGGTGTGGAGGAAGGAATACATGCTTCATACTGCTGATACCGTATAATAGTAGTGCTTGATTGTGTCAGTATTTGCACCATGCGCTTGATTTGGTTAATAGTCAGTTCAGAGTCTTAATCTTTAAGCTTATTACATACTAGTAGACCCCGTTGCGCAATTTGTCTATATTCAGTCTGGAGACGGTGTCAAGACACGATCTATAGATGGTATACAGACATCCTTCTTTGTCTTGTCTAGCATCCATACGATAATGTGAATGTTTTGGTCTCATGTTCGTTTTCGCAATCAAAGACATTGTTTTGAGTGGAATGGTCTGAGATATGTCTCGGGTCCCTCAAAATGTTTATTTATTTTTGTCGGCTAACAGAGCACTGAAGTTTTTTATGTTTGAATCTTTAATATTATTACACTAGATAATTATAAATGCCATGTACTTATTTTGTTCTCATATAATAAAATATTGGCTTTCTGAGAACTTTCCATGTTTTTTTTTCAAGCTGGCGTTGATAGAACACAATGGATTTAAAGAGCAATAATAGGATAAATTCTAGAAGTTCCAATGAGGTTAAAAAATGACCAGCCCCAAATATCGTTTGCGCCCCCCCCCTAGACGAAATCTTGAATCCGCCCTTGATCTAACTCAATACCCAGGAAGGTCGGAGAGTCTGATATGGTACTGCTAGTAAGACGTGGGGTGAAAGTGAACAACTACCATCTTGTCAGTATACAACTTACCGGAATTTAATTGCCACTCCACCTAAAAGTGATCACCAAGTAGAAAGTCGTGTGACTAGATTTTTTTTCTTTATAACAAAATTTTGGATCAACCTCAATACCTATAAACTTACAGGAAATAATGGTTGACCATTGACCATTTCTGCAATAATGCATCCTACAGACCACATATCAACAGATTGTGTATAATTTCTAGAACCATACAATAATTCGGGTGCTCTGTACCATCTAGTAGCGACTTGGTGAGAGTACAATGTGGGTGTTGTCTCATCATAGATCCTAGCTAATCCGAAGTCGGCTATTTTAAGTACACCTTTTTCACTTATCATAAGATTAGCTGGTTTCATATCCTGAATTTGAAATTATAAATAGTTAGCGTCACATACCACATTCGAAAAGTGGATCGCTAAATGTGCACATATTACTTTGTTCAAAGCGCATATATTTATAAAGAACTTTGAGATGCCTCCATATGTTCTGAGATACCTATTTACAGCCTGCGTTTATCTTCCTTAAATGCTTCAAGTTCTTCATTGAATATTTCGAATAATTCGCGACCGGTTACAGATACTTTCAAACTGACATATTCCATGCTATAAAATTCGGACTGATACCTCACGGATCAATGGACGATCACATTAGTATTCAGCACCCCAAATTAGGCAAATAAGGTAAATGTCCCAATCTTCGGCACGTCAAGGGACTTTTCATTTCTGGATTTTTGTAAATTATTGATATGCCAAGATAAAACTTTTTTTTTACATGATGGCACACATTTGGATGGTAGTGAAGTGCAGAATCTTTGTTGTTTCAATTTTCAGTAAAATATTTATTTCAAAAAAATTTTGACAAAACTTCGCATTGTCTCTACCCTCATGTATTTAGCGATACAGACCTGCAGGGGTATAATGTAAAAAACCTAAAAAAACGTCAATAAAAAAGCAACGAAGTGTCATCTTGCGGATTAGGTAGTTTTTAGTGTGCACATAGTTGATCCCACGTTTGCTGTCTGTTCGCTGACGTTTAAGCAACACGTGCAGCTACAAAACGAGTTTACAACAAGTGTAAAACAGCTTGTGCTAAGTTAACATCTTGTAGAAAAACCTTCGTTATCTCACAAAAAACCTACGAAATGTCCAAAAAAAAGCGATAAAACGTCACTTTTCAAGATACGTAATACCAGGTACGTAATGGGGGATAAGCAACGTTTTAGTGTTAATAAATAAAGATAATAATTAACGAAATAATTAATCATATTACGCTATACAAAATATTTTCATTGGTTTCACCAGGATCACCTTATATCATAGGTAATAAAGGTATATGAGAGAGAGAGAGAGATACTAACAAACTAAAAAGCAAGAACATGATTATCATTATGTCTAAAAGTTGACGTGATATCACAAAACAAAGAAAGGTGCTCATGCTAGGCTGAATATGAAAATAATTCCAAACGAAAGGCATTTTCCGTAACTTCTTTAAATCAAAACTAAATAGCAGAAAACAAAAATGTATTTTTGTACTGATTATTAATCTTTGTACATGAAATATTATTAATGTAAATTTGAATGTCATAAATATTTGATATACAAACACTCTACATATCTGGTACAGAATAAATATCTCTTGTATGAGTAGTACCAGGGTCCTTATTATATTAACAACGTCTTATCATTCATAAGCTAAACGATAAGAACAACGATAATAGGTACGATAATAACCTGTCTTTGGTTAGAAAATCCCCATTGTTGCTCTGATTCCATTGTACCATGATGAAATACTCATAATTATCAAGTATCTTTATCACGAATTCAGCGTCACAACAGACAGAAATCATGTCCCTTATTTCGTCTTATTAGTTTTGCGAAATAGAAATGATTAATGTTGTGAATTGTGAATTATAAGTAGAATATGCTCATTGATCATTTAGTATCATACAGCATATAGTAAAATATAGCAAGAAAGTATGCATTAATTTCAGTAAAAACACAAAAGTATACTTTGTATACATACTCAAACTTTTCTTAGCTTATGCAAACTGAGCCTCACTTTACACTCTACTTGAAAACAGACCGATAGAAAAAGTGAACGAGTACCTGTATACCAAAATTCAATCAAAAGAAACACTATACTTTTTTCATTAGATGTATGTTTTATATTTTATTACATACTATATTTGCATAAAAAATACGAATAAATAAAATTTTCAGCAAAATAACCTTATTCCGGGAGTAACCCGAATTTACGGACATAACCAAAAATTACTGAACCTAATTTCGTGAGTCATATTTTTGAAATTTTTGTCATTTCTTAAGTACCTTCACTCGTATCTCAAATTGTTTATAAAGTAGAACACTCGCTTTTCAAGTTTATGGTTGAAAATTTTAATTTTGATTTGGAAATTTGATAAAAACACATCACTAATTTCTTATTCTGACGCTTCAACAAAAACTAACGAAGTTATCGACTATCACGAAGTTTTGGACATTTACCTTATACCAAGTTTCATTCACTCATTGACAGATCTGGTGAAAATGAAGTTTCCACCCAAATACTCCCCATAATATTTTTGAGTTTCCTATCAGAAGATATTCAAGAACCTCTGCATCTATTTGACTTCCACAGAAACGTCTTGAACATGGGATACCTACTCAAACTTTATTTAAAATTTTGTATGATTCCGACGCATTTGGAAGTTCCTCATCAAGCTAATAGGTTACCTCAAATTCGGCACAGTTCACGATTTTTCAACTATCGTATACGTAATCGACGCCCCAAATTGTGTATCACTTTTTATTCACTTGTAACAACGGCTGTCAGAAATGTAATTTTCCCCCGCGCGTATCCTCTAATATTTGTAGGTTTCCCACGAAAAGATTTTCAAAAACCACTGTATATCTGTGATTTACATAAAAGATTCCTTTCCTAAGAAAATGGGATGCGTAAATTCCGATTCCGTCATCAGTTGATGCTATAACTCACGGGAGGTCCTTAACGATCCATATTCTTTGGCCCCACGAAACATTACGATCTTTAGCCGATCATATTCGTATTCAAATTCAGCCCCTCAAGTTATCCTGATCAGAGCTTCATTAGCTTGCATCAACGGGATGCAGAAATCGAAATTATGCCGTAATACATGAACATATATTTTGAAATTTCTTATGATACCTAACATTTTCAAAAAATCCCGCGTACCTGTGATCTGGACGGAACTTCCAGGATTTTTGCCGGCTTATAGTACCCACGAACAGAAGATCTCTCTGTTTTAAAAGTCAGAATGATAAGAAAAAGCTCTTTTATTTGGGGATGGCAACAAAATACCAAAATAATGGAAGCGCAAAGTACGGTATGAATTTATTTTTATACGTATATATGTTACTTCTTCTTACCCTATGCATGATATGGTTTTGATGTATATAATCGATACCATTCAACATCATCTTTGAGTATGTTTTGATTTGGGATAATGTCAAAGACTTATCATAATTTTTCAGAACATCAGCTAAAGACCAAGGAAGGTATTCCATAACCAATATCACAGAACTACCCATTGATGTGACTTCTATTAACTTCACAATCTGCAAGAAATTCTTTCATTAAGGTTACTGAAATTGTAACACCAATATGTTCGGTGTTTCATAAATGCATGTCAATATTTAAGGTTGCATCTTTGGGTTAATTTCAAGTAAAAAACTTAATATGAACGTATCTACTAAACGTTTTAACTTTTGAGATACAGGGGGCAAGTTCTCGAAAATAAATTATTTATCAATATCATAATGCCACTTTGGGCATTTTAATAAAATTTGACATAAATATGTAGGTACAATGTATCAAGAGGAATTTTCTAATTTATCATATTTTTTTTTTTTAATTTCCGCCAGTGGCGACCTTGCCTATTTTGGCAGACATTGAAGAAGTACCACTTATTTCTCTTATCATAAAAATTATACTATTTTTTTCCGATCCGATGTACGGTTTTCGCTTTAAAAACCGTTTATCTGCAGGATCATGACATTGACGTTAATACACGGTGCGGCAGAGAGGACGGACGTTTTTGGTTTGGGTAGTACTCTCCGCCTCCGTCTACGAGAGAGGTGGGGAGGGTGCCGTTTGACTCGTGAGATCCTAGCATTATTTTACCAGTTGTTATGGACCCTTGGACGATGGAGCACCGCGTTTTCGCCTATGAGTGACGAAGCCCACTTTCACCTAAACAGCATGGTTAACCAGCGGAATTGTCGTTATTGAGCTAATGAAAATCCGCAACAGTTACACGAAAGACCGCTGCACAGCCCAAAAGTAACGGTTTGGTGCGCTGTATCGCAAACTTGCATCATTGGCCCTTGCTTCTTCGAAGACGGTAATGGTCGTGATGTTACCGTGAACTCAGAGCGCTACGTCGACATGATCACCAACCTCTTTCTCCCTGAATTACGACGGCGACGTGTTCCAATCCGACGTGTGTGGTTCCAGCAGGATGGGGCGACCGCCCCCACAGCCCAAGCATCCATGGGCGTTATTCGCCCTCTCTTCCCTGGTCGCCTTATTTCCAGGTTTGGCGATGTTCATTGGCCTCCTCGGTCCCCAGATTTATCCATTTTTTCTTATGGGGACACCTCAAGGCTAGAGTATACGCGAACAAGTCCCGAACTCTGGATGAATTGAAGGGAGAAATCCGCGTGGAAGTCGCACAAGTTGAGAGAGCGATGTGGGAGAGTCTACGTGAACTTCCAAGAACGCCTCCAGCACTGCATCAACGATTTCGGCCACCACATGCCTGATGTGATTTTCCACACTTGACTGTCTCAAATGCTTTTTCCTTGTGAACCTGGTTCCATCAATAAATTAACTATTTTATGATTTTTTTAAAATCTTCCATCCTCTCTGCCGCACCCTGTATAACAATATCACCATGCAGAGAAATTGGTTTTACTTTTTTAGCTTTGCGTCACAATGAAAAAATTCAAGAAATCAAATCTGCTTATAAATGGGTACAGATTCTATTTTCTTTATTCATAAATTAGTGCAGTGCCAAACAATTTTCGAAAACTTTACCAGCCTGTACCTCAAAAGTTAAAACGTTTAGCACATACGTTTATATGACGTTTCCTTCTTTAAAAGACCTCATTTACAATTCTTAAATTATGTTATATGTTTTTTAAATATCACGATAGGCTAACTAATTTGACAGAAACGTTTTTGTTTTACTCACATTCCTGAACTTAAGCACACGTAGAGAACATATTTCTCTAAAGATATTCTTTGGAATCCCCACATTTGGATTTACAGCGACTTTCTTCAGAGCAACATATTTCTGGGTTCTCAGATCCAGTCCTTTGAAAACGAAACCATGGGCTCCCTCGCCCGCTCTTCCTATTAGTTTGTAATTGTTCATTTTTAATTTTCTGTCAATCTTAAATGTGACATTCTCAATCAGCTCATTTCACAAAAATAGAAGACGTTCTTGTGTTGCATAGCCATTGTTGTGAATGTGTTGCTATTGGTAACGACTATTCACTCGACACAAACATGTTCGGCAGGGGTATTTCGTTACTTGAAAAATGACATTTTGTCGGTTTTTATGATAATTATGTATGTTTTCCTACAAGACATCAACTTGGAACTAGCTGTCATTCACTTCACGCTCACCTGTAGCAAACGCGGAATGAACTACTTGCACACTAACCTACCACTAACCTAGTTGACATTTTATCGGTTTTTTGACATTATATAGGTTTTTTACGTAATAACCCTGCCGAGTAGTATAAATCCGAAATCATAAAAATGTTCTCTATGCAAATAATCCAATCCTTATCAGGGCCCTTATCAAGAGCATGGACTCTCTTTTAGCGAATTAGTAGCACTAAGTGGTAATTTTTTTGTATAACTTCCAACAAATAGGAACAAGGAATTATATAAGCGAGATAGATGCCTGTCTGGTACATTTTCGCACGTCTTTATTAGCTGTTGTTCTGTACAATGAACCTGCACTCAAGCCATGGTATGTAGGGTCCAGTTGTACACGAAAAAGCTATGTACGATTATCTACATAAATCTGATATATTGACCCATAAACAATACGGATTTCGAAAAGGCTGTCATTCTGTTAATTGCGGTATTAGATCTGACGACTTTGTTAGAGCTTGGTACCATAAATCATGATCTTTTGGTTGCTAAGTGTAAGTTTTTCGGATTTTCCGATTCCTCAGTCAATATGATACAGACTTTAGATAATCGGATGGTAATCATTGGAATGTTTTTATCTCCAAAGTCCCTAATTTCCTCTGGAGTGCCGCAAGGATCTGTGCTTGGACCACTGTTGTATATTCAGATCTATGCCGATGATTCCCAAATTTATAATTTTCGAATCGGATGTAAATCTATTAGTGAATCCGCGAGTCATAACCTTCAGTTAAACCCTCAAAACCGAAAATCATTATTTTTTCACCAAAACCTTTTAGAAGCTATATCAAAAATAATTTTAGTACAAGTCTAAATGGCTCTACTATTGAGTTGAGTGAATTGATCGAAAATTTCGGTGTTACTTTTAATGTATGTCTCAAGTTTATACCTCACGTGAACAATATAAGTGAGAGTTGTTTTTCCATTCTACGTCAATTATACAATTTGTCGACTATAAAACTATACATTTTTTTTGTGTGAGTCACTAGTTATGTCAAAGATCATTTACTTTGATATAGTTCACCTACCATTTCTAGATATAACATCACTTGCACGTCTTCAAAAAATTCAAAATTCTTGATGCGGATTTATCAACAACTTAAGGAAGTATGATCATATCAGCACTTTCATAAGCTAGTATTCACATCGGTACCTCCGTTTTTGAAAAATAAACATATCTAGAAACCAGATTCACTCAAGGAACATTTGTTTAATGGAGACTCTTACAATTCCTCTTCTTAAGACGTCATTCTTCTTTTATTGCTTCACATAGAATGCAGTTATTCATTAAACGAAACTCTACAACCCTTGACTATTGACAACATAACACGAATTTGAAAAACGTGTCAAAAAACATATTTTGGATAAATATTTTTCATGATTTACTGAAATTTGCTTCCCACTTCATAAAAATATTATTGAATTGTTTTGGTCTTGCGTTTTCTACATTCGTTTTGGGGTTAAGTGGCATAATAGCACTGTGCAAAATGACGTCCCTAATGAAGACTATTTATAATCAAATTCAAGCGGATAACCAAATGGAAATGGTATTTACCATTTTGGGTTGGTATTTACCAATCCGTTCAAGCGAGTGTAGTTATCAGTTTGGTTATAAGATCCGTCACGAATCAGCTGTTATATGTCATAGTTATCACCGCAAAATTGTGGTATTTACCCAACTCAAGAGTAGTTTTATATTTCTGGTTATTATTTGAAATGTGACAAGTTAGAATTTTGCCGGGTATTGGATATTGTTATTGTACTTCAGCTTCATTTTTGAGAAAAATGATACAGGCTGACTTCAATTTTACCATAAAGTGGAACACCTTATTGGTTATACTCATAACGTTTGTTGGGGACACTTTAAATGTAGTTCCTATGCTTAACAAAGTATCCTGTGTAGCCATATACCACAAGAATATTAAAATATGGCCATATAAACTCACTAGATGATATCCACCTGTATACGGTTTTGCTAATTTCTTTTTTCATCATTTCTGCTGAATCAATAAATGTTTTCTGTGACATGCGGAAAAATTTAGAGAATTGAAAGTTATCATATCTACAAAGCCATGGTTTCATCATTAAAAAAAAAAATCTGAAAAAAACATTTCTCCCATGAATATTATGAAAGGTTTCTTATTTAAACTTTCCATATACAGTTGTAGACGAAAAAGCACCGATTATTAAGTGATAATCAAAATAATCCGACATTATATACGCACTTTTCTAAAATAAACAACTTGCAACAAAACCGCGGTTAAAACCAACGCGTTCAAGCGATTCGTCTAACTGACGTCATCAACCCGTGTGTCATCTTGAACCATATTATAACCGCGGCACATAACCCAGAAATTTTGGTTATTCGCTTGGATTTGATTTATATTTCTTAAACTTCATTTTCAATAGCTATTATAGGATGTCAATGTCAAACAAAGAAATACTCTTCTTAATCTAAACAATATATTGACGTTTTGCAAGGATTTACAAAAGTATCATTTTTGTATGTACAATTTCAATTATTACAATTTCCTACTTATGAATCATTCAAAAGATGAATCCAATGTTTACATGTGATATAAGAATTTGAGTCAATTCAAGCCTCTTTTATAGAACAAGAAATCATTAATGTTACGGAATATCCAAAGAACTTCACATAAATGTCAATTCCAAAATACACATGAGTGTCAAGCATAATACTACATGATTAAGCTATAGCTCTTATCCAAATTAAGAAACAATGATCATTAATAATAAATATTCCAAGACTGAGAAAACTTGAAGTGATATGAGGACATGAAGACAATGGTCTTAACCGCCTTTGATAACAAATGACTGATAATAATAGTTGTGCTCTTGCAGATATTAACAATGCAAAATTCCTCAATTCTACATAAAAACTGAGTCTGAGATGTATTTGACCACAAGATGTCCAACCATGATTGCTTCCAAGATGCCTTTTTAATGCTGCATGTTAACTCAGATTCGATTTTCAGGTTTTTGCTCTTGATGCACTTGCAGAGTAGTTAAGCAATCTGATTGAATTAAAGGCTTGTATAAAGTTCATACACAAAATTCTAGTTATAATAATATAATATGTAAGTAAATGTTCACTCCAAATGGTAAAGGCAAGCTGACATTCAAAACACAGAGATTTTTGGATATTTTAAAAATATAGTCCTCATTAACGTAATCCCTAAAATTGTCTGCCATTCATTTATACTGTGAAATTACTATAAATAGAGAAACCAAAATTAAGATACCTATATAAAAACTACTTCACAGCACTTCACATAATCAAAAGTGACATTGATTCAAACAATTTCTAATTTAATACAAATTTCTGGTTATATATGGTGCATAAGCATAAGCTGAGGGGAGCAAAATCTTTTCTGCAGATTTTAATGGTCAAAGAACAAAAGCTCATATGGTCCAAGCATTTAACAATACGACAACTTTATTCATCTTGGAGCCTTCGTTTGGTATGTCTTGATTTATAATTATTTCACATGCTGTGAAATAAAAATAATTCAAATACATCACAGATAGATTTTGTAATTAGATATTTCCCGTACCAACACCAAAAAAAAAAAAATCAGCACCAAGAATACCACACTTCAGCTATAAAACTGTTCTTGTGTGAAGTAACTACTTCATGAAAGTCAGTAGACAACAGATAAAATTCATGTTTCTTCCTACTAAGGTATGCATCAACTGGTCTGCAATGGTCAGAATCCATGCACAAACTGTACATACCTCTATATAACAATGCTATAAGAAAGTTCAATAAGATCAAATAAAACATCTCACTGAAACAATTAAATTTCTAATGTGATTTTATTTTGTTCCAAAACCATCAAACATAATTTTACAGATTTATCATAGCTTCAGCTCAGTCAAATTATAAATGTAGTAACTCCCATGAAGTAATTTTACAATAAAAAATAAATAATTTGCCTAATAAGGTGGTATGTACACTTTACATGATATACATATTTACAGATTCATCACAAATACACATTATTTATATCTATGTATATTATAGAAATATATTGCAAAATCCTGTTTTGGATTAGCAGAGGGCAAGAAAAAAAAATTTCTTAAAATCAAATCAAAGCTGTATATGCATTTGTATTCATATATTTGTGATGAAAGCATTCCCAACAAGTCAATATGTATGACTGAAACAATTTGGTGGAATTGAATTTTCATACTTTCGAAGTCATTGAGGTATAAGGAATTTTAGATAAATGCAGCTTCCTTCAAAATAAATCACTTACATTAAATGCCTTTCAACTTACACCACTCAACTACAAATCAAATTTATCTATACATTTTTTTTGTTGGATGTATGGGTATAAAAATTAGCAGATATGTTGACAATGTCTACTTGTTCCAAAGAGTTGGAATATATGTATAGTTCAATTGTTGAGTAGTGTAACATGATGCTCACTAGCAAAAAACTGCATCCTTAAACCTCCCTTTATATACAGTTTCTCTGTGTTTTGAGTCAAATATAGGTGAAAGCACACTCTCTAGATCATTTATTTTTCTTCTAAACCTATCTCTATCACGGCCATATTCTTCCCAGGGTCCTTTTCTAGCTTGTTGATAAGCATAAGACCATTGCACCATTCTATGTACCTCACATAGATGATTGTCATCAGCAAACCTCACCTATAAATACTTAAGTAAACAGAAGCACAAAGTTTGGGACATACCTTCAAATTTTCCACTTGTAAATAAAGTTATAGTATACAACAGCAAACTGGAAAGTACTGTTTTGATATATTTTTGCCTCTTGGACAAACATGAACAAGCAATGTTTAGTAGCAAGAATAAATCTCTGCTATATTGATACTACCCCACAAGCTAAACCCCTGTATTTAAATATTCTCCATTATAGAGGTATAACTGATGAGAGCAGGATAATAGTTCTACTACACATTGTTATTGGAAAACACTGCAATGTGATTGCACCACAACCAATCAGATAAAATCCTCATCAATTATTATTAGATGATTCAACTATAAAACAGGCTCTTTGAAGAAAATTCTGATTATTGTTGCATCAGTATTCTATTTACGCTTTGTGAAATGAATAAATTAAGTTATCAATTCATTTTATGTCATTACTACCAAGATAGCAGAAACATAATTATCTTTAGCTCCATTACTTACTGGTTATGACTTTTTTATACTATATTATTATCAATGAATTACTGTAGAGCTGAATAGCAAACCATATTTTACTGTATGTATGCTTAAAGATTGTAATTTAAAAATTAATAACTACTGAAAAGACATGCCTTACTTTTATTGAAATATTTTACTAATTTATATATGAGACCATGAAAGCCATATTGGAACAAATTGATAAGATATTGGATTGGATGTACCATTATGCAGTTCTATTTACATTTGATCATCATCATCATGTTTCTCATAAATGAATTGTGTCAAGTTCACTATAACATTTCTAATGCACATATATGCTAATACTATCAAAAAAGTGTCTAATGTAAATTATGTATATATTCATGTAACACTCAGTAAAATTTTAAACTGACCTTGGTCTTTTTATCTCATATTAGAATGTTTTCTCTCTAAACTTATGGTATTGTAAGAAATTACAGATATTCATTCAGCTAAAATATATGTAACAATGCCTAAGCATTTCACACTGCACATATTGTTTTAAAAACCTATTTGTATTTGAATGATATAAGGGCTATCAGAATCTTATTATCTATATATGCAAAGCAACTACCAGGAAGTAAGGTATTAAACTGTTATCTATAAATTGTGTTGCTTTTAGGATAAAAATATAATAAGCGATTGCTTCAAAATAAAAAAATATTCTAGCCTTTTGAATTTTAACTACCAATCTTGTTATGAATGAGAAACCCTGATGCAATGTTAGAGAACAAGCTCATCTTTTCTAGAAGGGGAAACAATGATACTTATCGTTGCACCTGCTTAAAAGCTGAACATAGGGCTCCTTTTAGTCCCTTTCGACATCAAATATCATTTTACTTATGAAAGGCAAACAATAGAGATTACTGTATTTATCAGTTTACAGTTAAAAAGAAGTATTTAAATCAAATATAAGTAACTTAAAAGTTACTGATAAAAATTATCTACAAGTGGATCATGACTTTACTGCATTATTTGAAATTTCAAAATTAAGTTTACCTTTTTACATGGTATATCAGTTGACGAATTCAGATCTTCTCCAACAGTTGACTCATAATTTTCTTCATACTGGTTATCAGAATCATCTTCTGATTCTGAAAAGACAAGCTCTTCATCTGTACCACTTTGAAATACAATAAAGCTATCTTCAGAATCAGCTACAGAGATTTGTCTTTCCCTCATAATAGGTCTAAAAGGTGGAGAACAGCTGAGGATTGAAGCTGATAAAACCCCTGTGGATGGGGTTCCATAGCTTGAAATGTCACTAATTTTCTCAGGGTTTGTGTCTGTTTTGATGTTATCAGAACTCTCCCTTGAATCATCGACCTCCATATAGCTTTCTGAGGTACCATTCAAATTGATATCCATATCAGATCTGTTACTATCCATCTTTTTTTGACTCGATTTTCGTTTGCGATTTCTCCTAGATCGTTTAGATTTTTTGTACATATCCTGCTTAATTTCATGATATGCTGTATGATCCACAACATCTGTAGATTTATCAATCAACATAGAATTTGATGAATCCACTGTAGAAGGGTTTGTGATTTTGTCCTCATTGTCAATGTGAATCTTTGGTGTCGCATGGTGGTTGTTATAATGGTGGTTATGCACATTGGGGTAGTGCTTGTTCACAAAATTGGGGTTAGTGAATTGCTTTCCAGGTGCAATCTGTAGGGTGCTTGGGAGATTGAAGCCAAAGTCACGTTTCTGGGGTTTGTTTGGACCCATCGTGAAGGGAAGCGTATGGGCAAACGGAACGCAGTTCCACATCTTAGTGGTACTTATCATCTAATCACAAACCAAAAAATGTTTGGAGAGTTTTGGGAACGTGATTTTTCTTCTACACTGATTTCTACAGTTCATATGCCAATGAAGCTTGGCTCTACACAAACACTGGTATCTTCGACGATTTTCCAAATGCAGGTTAACAAATGTCTTCAAATTCGCTGCGATACTTTTTTTAGTGCTGATAATCGATTCAAAAGTACTGATCATCTCGATATAAGCCATTTTCAACAAATTCTCTTCGCTAGTCACAATAATTCATATACTTTACACTGCCATTTTGAATAAACTGAAGTGAAGTGTCATTAAACTTGACAATTGACATTAGTTATTCTTTCCAGCGACGTTGCCTAATCACCAGCATTAAATACCACATCACATGAAAATTATACTGCTCCCCAAAGTTTGTCAAAACCCAATTATAAATAGATTAGTAGGGCATCATTATCGAACTCGTCCGATAATCAATAGAATAGTTTTTGTTTTCTATACAAACCAATAATCAAGGGTCTTCTTTAAAAAATGATTTTTTACGTATACTTAGTATAGGAAAAATGATCCTATTTATACTACCTAAAAAACACAATTGTATTGAAAAGCTTATTATATTCATTATGAATTTCTTAATTAAATTGAAATCATTATAGCTCTAAACATTAAAAGTATTGTTCACCTTATTAGTAATTATGGTCCTATTTTATATAGCAACTCCATGATTTCCTTCATTTTCAATTCCTTCCGAGTTTTTCATTTTTATCATTTTACTTTGGAATTAACATTGACTGTATTCTGTGTTTTGGAAGTCCGGTTCAGTTAGTTTTACGAATTTTAATGGATTTTTTTTATTATAAGTTTCGTATTCCTACTCCATACTATAACGAACCAGAGACCAACCATAGTGGCGATGACTGACGTTGCACTAATGGCGAAACCAGCATTTGTGTCAGAGGAGAGTCACAGGATTCATGTCCAGGAAGATATTTGTCTCGACGGGGGGAGTCTAATCGTTTACTCATACGGTGTAAGCCTAAATGTGATTTAAGCAGTCAATCTAATTTAATAGGAAAAAATCACAAAATTAATACTTATTTTTCGTCTGTTGCAAAACTGATCCACGCCTCATCACGACATATAAAAGTGCCAGTCCAGTTAGGTGACCTTCTGCGACAGGGGCTAGAAACTACGTCTTGAGCCTCCTGAGCGTAAATCAGGGCCTCTCTGCTATCACTACACTAAAACTGGTTATGTAGCAAGGATACATAATAACTTTCTGATGTTGGAATACATTTCGGCATCGGAATTTTCAATAAGAGTAGATATTTATTCACAATTTTCCAAGCACACATTCCAAATTCCAAAAATATTTTCAAGTAATGATTATAAGGCGTAAAGAAATAGCAATATAGGTACATATTGCGTTTCTGGCTAGTACGTATCTGGCGAACTCAATGAGATATCAGTATCTTGATGGCACCATTTTTAGAGTAACGCGATGTTAAAACTTAGGCGACGATATGTGAAAGTTATTCAAGAAAAACCTATTTTAAGTGATGTCTCCTTCAGGGGCCTTTTTCTCCGGGTCAAATACAATATTTTTAAAATAGTATCCACTACAAATTTGCAAAAAGTCTGCATTTATTAAATTCATCAAAGAGATTCGAAAGTCATAAATATTAGTGTTTAAACTTGATTCGCCCAAGGGGGGGGGTTATCATGACCCCATGACCACCCTGGATCTGCGCTTGCGTTGCACACACTTTGCAATCTACAAATGACAGCGGAAGAACGGAAAGTGCTTTTATGTTTTTTCTTTCGAGATTTACCGCTTTTCAAAATAAATCGATAACCGATAAATAACCGGTTATCGGTTTGCACATAATTCTGAGTCTCAAAAATGTTTTCTCCTTCATGTTTGTTTAAACAGGATATACACATGGTCATACATAAAAACATATCTCAAAATATGTCGTGTGCGATGTTTTCAAAAAACATTTTTTTTATAATGAATGAAAATTATTAATGATGAGTCTGCAATCCGAAAACAATTCTACACTGCATTATAGCATAGAAAAAATATCTCAATAACCAGTAGCATTTTTTTAATGTCCAAGTATTGACTATGAGGAGCATTCCTGTCAATCTGACAACATTGCAATGATGACAGAAATCTGGAAAATCTTTGTATGACGTCATACAAAATCAGACGTCATTTCTAAGAATCCATGTGCGTGTAAGAGAATCACTACCTGGGTACCTGGTATTTATACTTTTCAAAAAATAAATAAATGACAAATAAAGTATCAATAGTTGCTACGCTGAATATTTTATTCTAAGTAAATATAATTATTTTTGTTTAGCAAACTATTATTACTCACGCTCAAGGTCGAACTGCGCCGCCAATGACGATAAAATGTTGATAATTTTTGAGGTTAGGCGCTGACATCATTAGTGTTTTGTTATGATGATTTTCCGGGAAAGGACGCCAAAATAAAAAGTAACATAGAAAACAATAGCCTATCAAGGCCAGGTGATAAATTGAATGCAAATATATTTAACACGAATAGAAATGTTTAACGACTCGTAAAGTCAGAAAGCCGACGCGGATTTTATTGATTTTTCTTGACCTGTTGAACATATTGAACACCAGTTGCTTCTAATGATCCCATGAGCTCTGAGTCCTTTGCCCAAGAAAGAGAACAGACTGTTGGATTGTTGAGGTAAGTAACTCGAACATTCCTTACTCTATTTCACACAACCGTTTTTTCCATTAGAAAGTCAGATTGTCAGTGAAACCATAGCAAATTATGTATTTCATTATGTGATTCCATCATTACTGTAAGTACTGTCGTATTGCTAACATATGCATGAATTTTGTATACAGATTTTGTTCTGTTTGCGCTGAACTATTCCTAGCAAGATTTTGGTAAATATATCTTATACTATAACCACATGACTTTCAAATAGGTTTATGGTACCATGAAAAGAATACTGATTACTCACTTTTCTATTATCTAAAGCTAGTTTACTGATATAAGTGCTATGCTTCATTTGTTTATCACTGAATGTTGCACATAAAACACATAGGAAGTAATTCATTGCCTTTTAGATTAACTAAAATAATATTTCAATGTTTTTACAGTAGCAACATGGAAGCTAGAGCAGAAGCACAAAAAACCAAACATTATAAATCATTATATACCTTTACAACATCTGTTGGAGTAGGTACCTTGATTTTGATGGTGTTTTGGATCCTACATTACAGAGGAGGATTTTCATGGAATACAAAACCTGATCAACAGTTCTACTGGCATCCTTATTTGATGTTTTTAGGCATGCTCTTCCTTTACTCACAATGTAAGTTATTAGATTATTTTTATTGCATATTAAAATTTAGTAAATCAGTAGTTGTTTGGTTGTGAAATACCAAGAGATATGTGGATGTTCTAAATGATTAAGATACAATATTTTTTTCAGCAATGCTAGTATACAGGACATACAGGACTTCAGCAAAGAAAAATTTGAAACTAGCTCATGCTGGTATACATTTTTTGGCATTTATTTTATCAGTAATAGGTTTGAAAGCAGTATTTGACTCCCACAATTATGCAAAGCCACCTATACCAAACCTATACACTCTCCATTCCTGGATTGGTTTGATCACAGTCATCATTTTTTCTATACAGGTAATTACTGGTAGAATGGTAACTATAAACATAATGATAAATGGAATGATTTTATTGTCTTATAAAATGTGTCATGAGAGTAGTAGAATCACATAACAGTTTTGCTGGCTATGGCAAAAGTTTATAGCAGGTTTTATCCAAAACCTTATCAAAATTGGTGCAGTGATTAGTAATTTTCACAATAACAAAATACATTGAATAGAATAGAGACCAACATAAATCACTGTAATGCACCCAAAAAGAACCTATGAAAAATATTATAATTTGAAAAATTTCACTATAATAAAATCTTTCAAATATCGTTTTTTTGCAGTTTTTGGCTGGATTTGTGACTTTCCTGTACCCAGGTTTGGCTGGGTCTATTCGTAAAGCAGCAATGCCTGTTCATACTGCATTTGGTACTGGTCTGTTTGTACTAGCCCTTGTTGCAGCAATTTCTGGAATTATGGAGAAAGCTATTTGGACACTGTAAGTACCATTATCACATTGGTAGGCACAACAAAGTATGAAAAGTTATGTGTTACACTTTCTCTACCAACGATATCAATTTTTTCTTGTGGAAGCTGACCAACTGGGGTCCCCAATGGCACTGCAGTCTTTAAGCTCTAATTATACTTCAAATTTTAAAGTGGCATACATTTAGCTGATGATTCTCATTTGATACTAAACTAAATTGTGTTATCTCCCTCATTGGACCCTAGATCACCTACAGGTTTTCCTCTTGCTCTTCACCCGCGATAAGTGTGATTTCTAACTTTATGCAAATAGAAGTTACTCATAAAACCTGTAGGTTATCCCCTAGCTGATTAGCTTTTACGGCCCTGCACAGCTAATTACATGATCAATTTAATTTGGTATTGAAAGAGTTTAAATTCAAATTCAAAATTCCTTCAATTAAGTAACAAAATTCAAATGTACTAAATATACACATATACTAAGCATTAGTCAGCTTATGTATTGAAAAATTCAAACACCTACAAAATGAAGCAGATCACTTTTCTCTAAATAGAAAAAATGATGACAAGACACTGAATGTGAAACAGGCAAACTTGTAATTGCTGTATCATATAGGGTACTAGGAGGATTTCCCTTATGCTATTCATAACAATATTAAAACTATTTTCCACCCTTATGGGATGCGGTATTTTATCAAAAAAATTTATACATGAATAAGTTTTTCGTTGCGGTAAGTCTGTGTCGATGGTAATTGAGGCCACTGTACCTTGTATAGCTACCTTCAGGTCCTTTTGTAGACGCTCAATTGTTGCTTTTCTAAACAATAACTGGAGACACTTAAAAACATAAATTCTAGGCACAGTGAGAATATTCAGCTCTCTAAACCTTCATCTGCAAGTTTGTCTATCTCGCAGAGATAGCATGGTGGACACTGATATTTTTGTATGCTTTTAAAGCCCCAATATATCATATCTGAAGATGGAATAAATGATTGTATAGTATACAATTTTAAGATATTTTCTACGCTTAAATACCAGGACTTAATTCTAAGCGAATATCACGGTCACTTTAGATCCTTTTACGGGCGTTCTTGATATGAATACCCAGCAACTATATACTTCGCGCTAGTTGTTGTTTTGCGTAGTTGATTAAGACTATATCTGGAATTTTTCTCTCTTTGTTCGGTTCAAAAACAAAAAACTTGTTTTTTCTGTATTGAGTACCAATTTGTTTTTAGTAATCCATTCTTTATCTGCCGTTAAACGTTCGGAGGAAATTTCAAGAAGCTCAGATGGTGTTGCTCCCACTGTGAGAATATATGTGTTATCCGCAAAATTCAAAAGATACGACCTGTCATTGAGTATCTAGTCAGTCAGATTGTTCACATGAAATTTTTCTTGACCCGAATAACCGTGAGATCCCCGCGAAAGCCGCCTCAAAAATCCAAGATTTTTTCTTAGTAATCAATGCCATACATAAATTAATATGCAAAATATAATCATGAGAATATTCTTTGCAGCAAAAACGAATATGCTGATTTCCGAGCAGAAGGAGTGGTCTTCAACTTTATGGGAATATTCATCGCGCTTTATGGAGTACTTGTATTGTACCTGGTGAATGAATCAGACTACAAGAGAGCTCCACTGCCAGAAGATCAAATAGCCTTGTCACATTCTGAATAATATGTCAAGTATTGTCACGAAACACAGCTTAGAGTGAAGTGATGCAAATTGTTCTTAATACAAATTTAGTTTTATATTATTAGATAACGTTTATAGGTGACCTAAAAATGTGCCGAAATTTTATCAGCCAGTCATTTCACAGGGCCACAACTTGAGTTTGTGGAGCAAATATTTTTGTCTATTCTGTGTGGCAATTATTTTGCACTAAATATGGAAAGGAGGGAAGAGCTGCAGAAGCACAAATTAAATCGATTTGCCTAGTGAAGTTATCTGGATATCTGGAATACCCATTTGTACCTAAATATACCAGAACAGTTTGCAACATTCGATTACAGAAAGAGCAAACAGACTCCTAGGACCAAAATAAATTTGAAACCCTATACGGCTGTATCTTTAGTAGATTTTGGCTTGGTTTATGAAACCTTTTGTAGGTTATTATGCCATTGAGAACGTTTTTTTGCAAGTGCTTCATTTAACAAGTTCCTTAATTTGCCTTATTTTGTTACTTCAACTACAGGGTCCGGCAGTGAAACTTGACGGTTTTTGAAATGAGAGAAATCAGTGAATTTTCAAGATATTTTTAGATATATATTTTTGTTTAATAGAGAAAGGACGGAAATTAGAGATTCACACCATAAAGTAGAGAAAAACCATTATGTGTATGAAAAAATAACGTCGCTCAAATGACGAACCCCATATTCCACGCACTGCTCAAATCGGTTGATGCAGCGCGCCATCACTCTCTCCAAAGTGTGTTGAGGGATCGCATGAATTTCTCTCCGGATGTTCTCTAGCAGTTGTTCCAAACTTCGAGGCTTGTCCAGCTGAACTTTTCCCTTGAGGTAGCCCCACAGATAAAAATCGCATGGGGACAAATCGGGAGAGCGTGAAGGCCATGGAATGCCAACACGGAGAGAAATTAATTTGCCGGGAAATGACCATCTCAGCAGCTCCATTGACAAACGTGACGTATGGGCAGTAGCCCCATTCTGTTGAAACCAAACCATTCTAAGAGGAAAGCGGCGACTACGTAATTCAGGAAGAAAAAAATCCTGGATCATGGATACATATCGCTCCGAAGTCACTGACAGTTGACTTACTGACTGCTACACATACAGTTACCCTTTACTGGCCTTTGATGGAGCTGTCGTGGGTTTTCCGGTCCCCTCTCCAACCACTCGTCCAATCTCTACCTGCTTTTAAAAACCATCAGATTCCACTGCCGGACCCTTTGGTCTTTAAATGGCATTCTATAATGTAAAAGTATTTTACATCAATGTTATTTTTTTCGAAATATTGAAACATTTGATCTGATTCCTCGTTTATAATTGTGGAAGCAATTTATATGTGATTTTTAAGTGTGACTATTTTATTATAGATTTGATTTACTTCAAAATATGGTATTTTGAGCTTACACAACTTTGTAACTATGAGTATTTGTCAGAGTCTGATTCTAACAAAATAATAATTATTGGTATTCTATTAGATCTTACCAATGTAATTGAAGCTGGAGTGTTGACCAAATGTTTGAAACTAATCGCATTATTAACTACTATGTCGTAATTTGTCTGTGTTTTTGGTAAAACTTTGGCCTAAGTATGCCTAAGTTGAACTACAAGGTGCTTTGTTGGTATGTCATCAAAATTTTTAATTTTTGTGTGCAGTTAAAAAATAGTTTTTTAGATTTACCAGTATATATTTTTGCTAGAAATGTATTTATATTTTAAATATTGTTCCTATAAGCATGTGGTTATAGACTATGTGTCTATTAAATACCCGAACACCCCAAAAACTTGGCAACCAATCATCTTCTGGAAAAAAAAGGTTGTAAATAAAGTTTCAGGGTATCAAAAAAGCAAATTGTCAGTGATCTCAAATATGATCTAGGCGATGACCTCAAAGGTCATTTGGAGATCAACTTTATAAATTCAAATGGCAATCGCCTTTTTGTCAGCAGATTTGTGTCCAGCTCAAGATTCCACATCAGAATGCTTTTTCATACATGACGTCAGGTAGTAATGAGCGGTATAGTCAGTGTGACACTGTAACGTCTGAAAAGTACACCCCGAAAACGTGACAACCGCGCACTTTCCTCTTCCTGTATGGCCAGACTGCGCCACAAGTCATAACAGCGTTCCTTTTTGACCTCTGAACTTCATTTCAAAAATGCATAGGGCGTTGGGGCGTTAATGTAATTTGAAAACGTACACATTAATAATGACTAATGACCGCCTGACCTCACGCATGGAATCTGATGTAAAATCTCTACCTCGACATGAATCTGTTGTCAAAAATGGTGGTTACTACGTGAATTTACAAACTTGACCTCCAAATAGTCTTTAAGGTCATTGTTTAGGTCATATCTGAGATCAGAGACAAATTGCTTTTTTGATATCCTGAGGCTTTTCTTAAACTTTTTTTTTACAAAAAACGAGTAGTTAAGTTTTTGGGGTGTTCCGCTATATGTATATGTATTTCAATCGGTATATATATTGTTGGTGCTATTTTTTATGTTCATGTTGAGTTCCACTGTGACACTTTCAAAATTCTATGACTCAATGTGTTCGTCTACCGGTAGTACACAGCGCTAAAGCTGCTGCACGATTGTTAACAGATGATGTTAGATACCTCATCTGCTTTATGCAGCTGCCATCCCTAGCGATTATACGATAAGCGCTGCAAAAAGTCGCTTGAAGCGCATTCCGCCGAAATCTGCAGAGAAGCACACATTGTTTCTTCATGTCTTTCATTAATCCACCAATGAATTTCGCATATTCAATTCCAAAATTCTATTTTTTTATTGTAATCGGTAATGTATATTTTTTTCTCGGTTCAAAACAACCAAATCGACTGATTTTTTTAAATCGTAACGTAAATTTACTATACAAATTGAATGTATATTATATAGTGTATATACAAATATACGTATGTGTTTGCAAACAATTTTATTGTAGTTTGATTTGGGAGATATTAGACCTCTAGGCAGATTATTTTTAATTCCAATTTAGATCCACGATAGTCATATTCGAATTCAGCGCCCTAAATCACCATCAAAGTACCCTCAACATTAAAATCTCTGAAACGGTAAGAGATACGAGTTTGCTCAAATTGGGGCCAAGTTGCGTATTTAGCTAACTAACAAAATGCAACATAGAAGGCTTCGAAATTCAAAGTACTTCCGGAAAAAGACGGAATAAACCGAATTTTCCCAAAATCGTTTTACTTTTTCTTTGACTTTATTTGTAGTGTGATTTTGAAATAAATTGCACATTGACATTGCCACTTTTTCTACATGATGACATACTCAGAATTTCAATATGTCATTTCGTCTATTGTCTTCCAGCATCAACTTTCTTCTTTTTTTGTTTGTGGACGACCTCTTGAATCTGATTCCAAAAATGGTTCCATACATTGACACCTTACCTATATAAAAAAACATAATTTCCTAGGTAGGCCTTGAAAGTATCAGATAGTCACATGTTTCGCATACCAGGTTTATGGCAAAATCATATTTATATTTTCCTGGCTTTATTTAAAAAAGTATTTCAAAATAAATTGCAAATTGTCATTACCACCTTTTCTAATCTTCAAATTTTTGATTCAAGATTTGCTCTTTCGACTTCCATCACCAAATTTGTTTTTTCATATGGACCGTTACATTGGAATTTTATACATTTAAATACTACCAATATATTGTTTTACTTAAATCTAAGAAGTTTATCGTGATATAGATAAATCTATTATATTAATAACTAAATACAGAACCAAAAATTGTGTGCCATTGTACAAAATTTTAATATGAGGTCCATATCAGAAAACAAAGTTGCTGATTGAGATCGAGAGCAAAAACGTTCAATCAAGAACTTGACTACGCCTTTATTCTAAAATCCCATTTCAAATAAAACCGGCATATAAACAACGGTTTTGGGACAAATCCGGTATACGAAACAATCCTATCTAGGAAATTCCATTTTTGAAATAACTAGGGTTTAGTAATGCCCATGTCTGACATGTTATATATTTTTGAAATCAGAATTAAAAACTCTATTCATCTATGCACAAATCTAATATGGCGTCCTGTATAAAAAATAAAGTTGATGCTGGAGGACAAAATATAAAGCGTCATATCGAAATTCTAATTAAATCATAGAAAATGTTAATCTACAATTTATTTTAAAATCACACTACAAATAAAGTCAGGAAAAAATTAAAACCATTTTGGGAAAATTCGATTCTCCGGAAGTGCTTTGAATTTCGAAATTTTCTAAGCGGCATTTTGTTGATTACGTACCCATGCAGGGGTCTTATCAATTTCACGTATAATAACTACCAATATCGCCGTTAAAGCTACCTAAATCATATGTACTAATAGTATACGTGCACGAATTTATCGATGCTCCTCGACCGTGCTTTTGTAGTTACGGTAATGGACAAAAGTATACAGGGTGACTTCGAAGTTGAGTCATTTATTTTAACAGTGAGTAGATCTGATCAAAAGAAATGTTTTTTCCTTTACCATTTTTCTGGTAAAATTAAAGTAACAAAGTTATAGCCCTTTGGAAGTTTGAGTACCGCCCTGTCTCAATAATAATATCATGTGCTCGTGTTTGGCAACAACGGATATAATCCGCCTTATCGGTTCATCGCATCGGAAACAAAAAAGCGAAAGAATTTGGAACGATGTTTTTACAATTATTTTATTCAGTTCAGTTATAGATACAGTTGTCAGTCGGTAACGCGTGTGAATAGTGTCTGTTGCGTGGCTCAAACGAAATAAAAAATGGCACATGTTTATGCGGTTCGGTTTCCCAATCGAGTGCAACCAACCCCTCGTGCCTTTGTTAATGTAGTACAACGGGCTCGTGAATCAGGTGACTTAAGACCTCACAGGGGACCTCACGATCAAATACAGGTCCGCACTGAAATACTTGTCGGAAGGATACTTTATAAAACAAGGTAAATTTTATTTTTTATTTTTACACACATATTTTGGTTTATCTTCCTTCTACAATCATTATCTGAAAATTAATGACTCAACTTCAAAGTCACAGTGTATAGATAAATATGAATATTTACCTAAATACCTTTAGAAAACGAATTCATACTTCATTGCTCCATAAACAAATGCGTTATTAGTAGAAAAACTAAATTCCTTGTTTTTACATTATCTGCAATGAACACAATAAAAGTCTGAATATAAGCACTTTTTTATGAGGGACAAAAATATGTAGACAATTCTTTCTTTTCAACATTAGTTTCGTGTCAGAAGAGCATTAGTTTGTGTTCATCAAGTATTGTGGAATAAGTTGAGTGATTTTAAGATCATGCCGGGCGGTCCAGAAATTTCTTTCGATGTAAAAACTGAGAAGATGAATGAGTTATACAAAGATGGTCAACGTCAAGTCGACATTGCAAAAAATTTGAAACTGAAGCGTAAAGCAGTTTGTGCAATATTGAACAAATATAAACAAAAAGGTATCTTGGAAGCCTCGAAGAGAAGTGGTCGGCCTAGAAAACTAAATGCTAGATCAGTTAGATTAATAAAAGTAATTTCGTTCAAAGATCCTTTTAAAACCCCAATACAAATAAAAGCCGAAATCGAGCCAAAAGGAATTGCCAGTGTTTACAATTTGAACGGTTGCATCTTGATTGGAGCATCTGTGACTGGAAGAGGGTATGTTTCAGTGACGAATCCAAGTTCAATATGTTTGGATCAGATGGTGTTCATTACGTTAGACGTCCTAGTGGACTAAGATTGAACCCCAAGTACACTTTGCCCATTGTCAAACATGAAGGCGGGTCTGTGAAGACAATGCGCCCTTAAGATCAATCTTCCAGCAAGATAATGACCCGAAGCACACTTCAAATCTCGAAAAAAAATTCTTTCTGGATGAAAAAATACCAGTTCTCAAATGGCCTACACAGTCTCCCGATATAAACCTCATTGAAAATCTATGGCAATACTTGGATAAGCAAATACGAGATAAAAGTTATTCAAACAAGGATGAACGTTTTGCAGCTTTAGAGCAAAAGTGGAGACAGATTGATGACTCTTATATCAAGAAACTTTTACAATCTATGCCGAGACGATGCCAGGCGGTGATTGATAATAATCGTTATGCTACAAAATATTAACACAAACATGGTTGCTTTTCTATAATTCAATGAACTTTGCTTCTTTTTTCTATAATTGTTTTGCTTTGTCTATATATTTTTGTCCTTCATAGTTCCACTTTTTTTCAATTAATTTTGTATTAAAGGGAGTCTAATGAATTTATTTATGTATAAGTGAGTATTATGCTATAACGAATTATGCATACAGGTTGGTGTATTAATAAAACAACTTAAAAAATAAATACAGCACAATATTAATTTGTCTATATACTTTTGTCCATTACTGTATGTGGATGGAATCGTTGTTTGTATATTGATTATACCGAAATTTTTTAACTTGCGAATCGTTAAATGATTCGAAATATTAATCCGTGGGGGGGCTTGTTAAACTATATTCCACTATAATTCAATCTGTTTTTTCAGACAAGGGTACCTTGCTGTGATAAATACCATTGCCACATAAACAATAGAACCTTTGACCTTTTATCTGAACATTACTTGTTACAGAGATTTATCTTTCTTATAGGCAATAACTCTGGCAGTGCTGCTGTATTGAAAGTAAAATGATTTCTTCGAAAATAATTAACAGGCTGTGTAAAAATGTGCTCAAAAGGGCATTTGCTACGGAGAAAGGGGAAGTTACGGCACTTTATGATTTCCATGTACAAAAAGGCGGGAAAATAGTGAATTTCGGTGGATTTATGTTGCCGGTGCAGTATAGTGATTTAAGTATTGTTAATTCTCACTTGTTCACAAGGAAAAATGCCTCTTTGTTCGATGTGTCCCATATGTTGCAGACGGAAATTAAGGGTAGGTAACTAACAAATGCAATTTGCTTATACAAAATGATTAAAAAAACAGTGGTAATTTTTAGAGGGCAAAAAATGCGTTCAAAACTCACAAGGAAGGTTCCTAAACCTATAAACCTTGGATCGAAAATACCCTTTCAGCGAGATGTAAAGTGTTTTTGGAATGTATAAACCGTATCGATTAAAAATTTTGTACCACGTACCATGAGCAGTATAACCAATATAGACAAAAAAATCGTCGCTAAAACTACACGCTGACATCTGGCTTATTTTTACTCTGAAGGAAAAATAAAACTATTTATTACGCAACACTTTAGAAACACCTATTGCATTTTTGAAGTAGCTATATACCATTTTACGTAAATTTTCTCTCTTGAGAAGTTTTTTCAGGCTAATGATTTTGGAGAAACATTGGTTTGAATATTCAAAGTAAAATCCGTATAAAAAATGGCGCCAAGTAGATTGACTTCCCACGCACAACTTCTGGTACAATTTTTCAAGTAGTGCAACGACATCAAAAAGACGTAGGTCTTGTAAGAACCAGTAATTCATCATTTGGGCTTTTTACGAATAAAGAAATTCCACAGATTTCAGCAATCAGTGTGTCCATACACGATACACTCTCATTTTTTTGGAACTCTAGTGGTGTAAAACTGCTTGTCATCAATGTTTGATAACTGATTAATAATAGTTCTCGATGATATATAATTATGCCCTATGCTATATAATACGATATTACGTCACGAAATTAAATATAATATATATTTATATATAGATAATGTCGAGTCCACCTTGAATCACACCTTCATACGTCACTCGGATCGAATACCAAAAAATGCAATATTTTTAAATAACCCCGTAGCGCATGGCATATGTGACCGATAGGTAATCCGTCTGCTGAAAACATTTGTCTAAATTTTAAGGGAAAATGTACGGGCTAATCTATGAGATGCGAATTTTTCTAGGTGTGCAGAATTACCAGGCTTGGAAGTGTATTAATATACGAATAAAAACCAATTAGATATACGCTTACATGTATTAATAACATTTCAGGCAAGAATTGTGTGGAATACTTCGAAACAATCTGTACAGCAGACATTCAAGGATTAAAGAACAATTCTGGTACTCTGACAGTATTTACAAACGAAAAAGGAGGTATTTTGGATGACTTGATTGTAACGAAAATATCTGACGACCAGCTTTATGTCGTTTCTAATGCTGCCAGAAAAGACCATGACCAAAAGCATATTTTGAAAGGTTTGGTGAGTAAACTACAAAGCTATATTAATCGAACATATACCGTATGTTACTATATTAATACTATAAGACTCAAGAATCATAAGGAAGTGTAACATTGCCAACGCTACCTCGGTGTTGCTCGTCCAGAGTTGAGTACTAAAAATTGAAAATTGGCGGGTTTATATTCACCATGAACTTTTATCTGTCACAGGAAAACTACAAGAAAACGAATCCTTCAGCAGAGATAAACATAACGTTTCTAGAACCTAAGGAGCGAAGCTTGCTCGCACTGCAAGGCCCTAAAGCTGCGGAAGCACTGCAAAAATTGACTAGTACTGACCTCTCGACGGTATATTTCATGACATCAATAGTGGGGGATGTCGCAGATGTTAAAAACTGTCGTATTACGAGGTGAATGAGGATTAGATAAAATTAAAAATAAAAACCTCCTTATTGCAGCTCCAAACCAAAGATATTGTTTTCTTAATTATGCGCATATGCAAAATACTTCTAGAAGTAGACCACTAATATACAGTAATGGACAAAAGTATATAGACAAATTAATATTGTGCTGTATTTCTTTTTTAACTTGTTTTATTAATACACCAACCTCTATACATAATTCGTTATAGCATAATACTCACTTATACATAAATAAATTCATTAGACACCCTTCAATAAAAAATTAATTGAAATAAACTGGAACTATGAAGGACAAAAATATATAGACAAAGCAAAAAAATTATAGAAAAAAGAAGCAAAATTCATTGAATTATAGAAAACCAACCATGTTTGTGTTAATATTTTGTAGCATAATCATTATTATCAATCACAGCCTGGCATCGTCTCGGCATAGATTGTAACAGAAGTTTTTTGATATAAGATTCATCAATCTGTCTCCACTTTTGCTCTAAAGCGGCAAAAAGTTCATCCTTGTTTGAATAATTTTTATCTCGTATTTGCTTATCTAAGTACTCCCATAGATTTTCAATGGGGTTTATATCGGGAGACTGTGAAGGTCATTTGAGAACTGGTAGTTTTTCATCCATAAAGAATTTCTCAGCGAGATTTGAAGTGTGCTTCGGGTCATTATCTTGCTGGAAGATTGATCTTAAGGGCATATTGTTTTCCATATAGGGTAACATGACATGCTCTAGTATGTCTGTGTATACAAACTTATCCATAATGCCATCTATTCTATGTGAAGGTCCCATCCCAAACCCCGAAAGCACCCCCAACCACAACAGACCCGCCTCCATGTTTGACAGTGGGTAAAGTGTACTTGGGGTTCAATCTTTGTCCACTAGGACGTCTAACGTAATGAACACCATCTGATCAAAACATATTGAACTTGGATTCGTCACTGAAACATACCCTCTTCCAGTCACAGATGCTCCAATCAAGATGCAACCATGCAAATTGTAATCGGTCCTTACGGTTTTTCCTCGAGATTAGCGGCTTCTTATTCGGGCGAAGTGCAAATAATTTCAAATCATTTAATCTGGCACATGTATAGATCACTGCTTTGTGAAAGACCTATCCAACAAAATTACTTGTATACCAATAATCCTAGAAAGCGATATTACTGACCACTTCTCCACTATTTTACTGATATCTTCAAATGAAAAACATTCTAACATCCCTACCGTTAATAACAACCAGGAAATTTACAAATTTTTTGTCGACAATTCAAAACTAATATCAAATGTCAAACAAGAATCCTGGGAACAATTATACTCTATAAATAATATAGACAAAGCAACGGGACTGTTCATAGAGAAAATAAAAAAACTAATAGATATTAGTACCAATAAAGTAATAATTAGTCACAAAGAGAAAAGCAGAAATGCCTGGATTACCAAAGGATTAATAACATCGGCAATAGAAAAAGAAAGACTATATAATGTAATGAAACTAACGCCAACTACAGAGAATGCCGACTGCTACAACCAATATAAAAATAAATTTATAGAACTTGCAAGGCAAACCAAACGAAAACATTACCTAAATAAATTGAATAATAACTTATATGATCCTAAGCGGCTTTGGACAACTATTGATGAGATTACAGGGAAAACAAAATTTAAAGAGTGTGTCACTGAGTTAAATACAACACCAGGAACAGTATTAAAAAATACTCAACAGATATGCGATGAATTTGTACAATTCTTTACTGACATAGGCGAAAATTTAGCAAGTAATATACAAGCAAATGTACAAAATAGTCATCCTCCAAAAAGAACTTTGAACTCATTTATTTTAGATAAAGTCGAGCAATGTGAAGTATACACGACTGTTATGTCCTTAAAAAATCGAAAAAGTCCTGGCTTCGATGGTATTAAAAGCGAGCATTTGAAAATTATAGCCGAGCACATAACAGAACCACTCACTTACCTAATCAACAAATGCTTTGAATCTGGCATATATCCCTCAATTTTAAAAAAAGGTAATATAATACCGATACATAAATCAGGAACAAAAACAGATGTTAACACCTATAGACCAATATCAATAATATCCAGTGTAGCAAAGGTTTTTGAAAAAGTTTTATCTACTAGAATGATTCGATAACTCACAAAATTCAAAATTTTAAGTGAAAATCAATATGGATTTACCGAAGGGAAGGCTACATCGGACGCAATAACTAAAATTGTAAATCAAATACATCAAAATATTGATAACAGGATCCCTCCAATCTGCATTTTTGTTGATTTAAGGAAAGCTTTCGACACAGTTAATCACAAATTATTATTAGAAGCATTGGAGAAGAATTGGTTTCAGAGGAAACGCGTACTCACTGATCGAAAATTATTTGTCAAATCGCCCACAATCTGTGCAGATATCAGGATCATTTAGTAAAGAAATGTATATTAAGTGTGCTGTCCCACAAGGAACTGTCTTAGGTCCGCTGTTATTCAATATATATTTAAATGATATTTTCCAAATTAATTGTATTGGCAAAATAACTAGTTTTGCAGATGATACTGCAATATTATATGAAGGCACTGACTGGTCTGATCTGAAAAATGTAATTGAAAATGATGATTTCATCAAAATTATTCGGTGGTTTAACAGTAGAAAATTAAGCATTAACTATTCTAAAACACATTTTTTACCATTTGGATCTTATGCTAAACATCTGCCAAATTACACAAATTTCTCCTTCAACATTAATGATCAAAAAATGCAAATTAATAGAGTACCCAACATAAAATACCTTGGAGTGGTCTTGGATCCTCACTTACGATGGGACATCTATGTCAATTATATTTTAAAGAAAGTTAGATTTGTATCCTACAAAATTAAATACCTTGGGAATATATTGACAGAAAAATATCTTCGAACATTATACCATGCACTGATTGAGCCTCATCTCACATATGGTATATTAGCATGGGGAGCTGCATGTTCCTCACATATCTATAATTTAGATGTTTTTCAAAAAAGTATTCTAAAAATGATATTTAAAAAACCGAAACTTTATCCCACTGAAAAATTATACGCAGATGTTCGAATGTATGATATAAGACAGCTTTATTTGTTACACAGTATCACTCACTACCATAAATTTGTAAACACCGACCAAAAAATTAAACATAATCATTATACAAGGTACAAAATTCGTGGCACAGTAGTTCCTCAACCGCATAAATCTATAATGCAGCGATCATATCTCTATTTAGCGCCTAAATTTTATGAAATTATACCTAAAGACTTAAAAGATTTACGTTTCGGAAATTGTTTCAAAAGAAATTTTAAAAAAATGGCCACATTCTATATCTAGGACTGAAATTCATAAACTCATAAATACGAACATCAACTAAATAAATAATCTACTGTAGCTAATTTTTGTCCTATTTTGTCATTTGCATTCTACAGTTTCAACTTAAATTATTTATTGGTCCATGTACAGGCGATGCCTTCTATTGGGCCTGTTTTGATTTTATATTTATTTACTCATATTGTTTGTTATCTTTGTACATTGAGTAAATAAACATTATTATTATTACTTATAGTTTTCATAGAAACACTGACAATTCCTTTTGTCTCGATTTCGGCTTTTATTTGTCTTGGGGTTTTAAACGGATCTTTGGACGAAATTAATTTTATTAATGTAACTGATCTAGCATTTAGTTTTCTAGGCTTCCAAGATACCTTTTTGTTTATATTTGTTCAATATTGCCCAAACTGCTTTACGCTTCAGCTTCAAATTTTTGGCAATGTCGACTTGACGTTGACCATCTTTCTATAACATAATGATATTAGTTTTCACATCGAAAGAAATTTCAGGACCACGCGGCATGCTCTTAAAATCACTCAACTCATTCCACAATACTTGATGAACACAAACTAATCCTTTTCTGACACGAAACTGTACTAAACTATTTATCTACATATTTTTGTCCCTCATAAAAAAGTCCTTATATTCAGACTTGTATGGTGTTCATTGCAGATAATGTAAAAACAAGGAATTTAGTTTTTCTACTAATAACGCAATGAAGTATGAATTCGTTTTCTAAAGCTATTTAGGTAAATATTCATATTTGTCTATATACTTTTGTCCATTACTGTAACTCCATGTTTCTCTGGCAAATTAAACCACATATTTCGAAATAACTGTTTACTGTCGTTTCGGTCACGGTGGCCTTTTTTAAAGTATAGGTCTGACAAACCGACAATGAGGAACACGGATTTGTGTGATACAGATATCTACAACAGATAGTTCTTGACGTGGCAAAGCAAAACATATATGGGATGACAGACCGTAAGAAAAAACCTGGAAGTAAAAAACTTATGGTCCACCAGTCAGCTTAGAGAATATCAATTATAACTTTCCTTCAAGTAGAGATGAGAATACTTACCCCAGGCGATGCTGGGCTTTGCTGGTTTTGCGCGGTGCCATCTTGAAATTGTAATGATAGCTTCAAGCGTATTACAGGACCATTAAAGCTGTTATTGCAACACACTGTATAGTAGGGAAGAAAGAAACTGACTGTCACTATAAAATATATTTCACTTGATCTGTACTTTGAAAAACGCTACCCTAGTGGCCGAAACGTCAGTAAACAGTAATTTTAACATAAGTAGTTTCATTAGGACAGAGAAACGGGAAATTCTATCAGCATGAAAACATTAAGTCGCGTGAAAAGTTATTTTTCCCTAAAACCCTCTGGAAAAACCAAATTTGATTGTTTTAGAACTATTTTTTGATTAAAAAAAAAACATGTTTTAGGTGTGGGTATACAGGAGAAGACGGTTTCGAAATATCCATTCCCGCAGAAGCTTCAGTGAAAGTTGCAAATGCATTACTAGGAAATGAAAATGTCAAGTTAGCTGGACTTGGAGCTAGAGATTCTCTAAGGTAAACACAGCATAGTCCTTTATAGAACCGGATTTTTTAGACTCATTTCCAAGTTCCAAAAATATTGTTTGTGTAAACAGAGTCACCCATAATGTTACGTGAAAAACATTCTTGATAGAAAATAATTACAGATTAGAAGCTGGATTATGCCTGTATGGAAACGACATCACGACGGAAACTACACCTGTTGAAGCAGCGCTGACGTGGCTTGTACAGAAAAAAAGGAGGGAACTTAAGAACTTCCCAGGGGCTGACGTTATTCTACAACAAATCAAGGAAGGATCAGCAGTAAAAAGGATAGGTAGGCCTTTTATTTGTTTTCCAGTTATAAATACACATTTAAGTGAGCGAAAGAGTAATTGCGAATGAAGCTCAGAAAAAAATAATGCAAAATCAAGATTTATCACGTAAACTCACGTATGTGGAACACCGCTTACGCAAGGGGTTGTCTACTTAAAAGCTACACTGTTACTGCCTCAGGAACTCATCATGCTTCTGTCAATTCATCAGTTTAGATTTTGATGCGTGACGTGGCAATGTGATGGAGTTTTTAGAGTTCCAAATTCTGATTGAATTAGGGAAAACATTGTTTTATGTCTTATCTTGTTTTTCCCAGAGGTCGACAGGTGGGTCAAGAAGTACCTCCCGGAAATATGGCTCAGTTGCTCATCTCTCTTTTGGACAAAAATACTAACAGATAAGCGAGGGATCGTATTGTCCCACCCGTTGACCCATGGAGTCCGCAACGCGCCATCCGTCCTCTTTCAGCGATGTCCGAGCATCATTGGGGGTGGAAAATATTTTCTGTAACGGATACTCCTCAAGGGTTTTGAGTTACCGACTCTCTTACTAGTATTACCCATTTCATCTACATTCAATTTTCAGGTATGATCTCAGAATCCGGTCCACCAGCCAGACAAGGAGCTGTCATCTTTTCGGAAGACGAAAAAGAACTAGGAAAAATAACATCTGGTTGCCCCTCCCCAAGCATCGGTAAAAACGTTGCTATGGGTTACGTCCCTACTACTCACAGCAAAGTTGGAACGAAACTGAAACTACAAATTAGAAATAAGTTGTATGATGCAGTTGTGTCAAAAATGCCGTTTGTTCCATCACATTATTATAGTGCTCCAAAGAAATAAATCTGTTACGTGTTTTAATATGTAAGCCAATTTGTCTTTTTATAGAAATAAATGTGGAAAATAAGCATGGGTCTTATTCAAATCATGATATAGGGTGTTAAGTAGTAATGTTAATAAAATACAGGTATACCTGGCCAATCTTCAAGGGATGATTGCTTGGACCATTCTAAGAAAAAAGTTCACAGGTACATGAATGCATGGCAACTAAGATACAGGATGTTGTAAATTTCTATGCCACTGGCAATACTATAGGACAAAACATGAACATTGATTAAAAAAATGCAAAAAATAAATGACATAGAAAATCTTCATTTTTCTTCTGCAAGTGTAAAATTATCCCAGTTCCCGCTCTTGTATGAATGGTTTATACGCATGCCGCCATATTTTGGAGGTACAACATTTTTCATCGGTTTCGAAATTATAATTTCAACACTCTTATCTCTATAAGGGAACATTTTTAGGACCTGTGGCTAAAAAATTGACAACAAATCATCTCTTGAAGTTTAGCTAGCTATGTTATGAGCACCCCATATATGGGTATTGGTGTTCCCGAAACGACACGTCGGTTTATTTCAAAGAAACAGGAAAACAGTATTTTAGAAAAATAAGTTTTTTGTTCAGCAAAAATGGCATTTAATGCTTCTGAACCTACAAAAACTGCTCATATATAATGACAATCTCCAGTTTAAAATGGAAGACTTCAATACTTTGATAGACTGCTGAACTCCTTTCAAGAATATTCATTTCTGGGACCCAATTCTTGAAAATGAAGGAATAGGATAGCTAGGAGCAAGTGTTCTATTATTACCTCTTCTGCCATTTTTTTTCTCAATTTGTAAATGATCAGCAAAATAATACATTCCTGTGATAACTCGGGCGAGATGTCCTCATTTTTTCCAAGAATGATTCAGTGAGCTACTATTCGATCAGCGTTCTGCAATACAGTTTCCTGAAAGGCAAGAGAACCACGCCCACATGTTTTAGTTATTGTGTTCCCTAATTTCAAAAATAGTATAACCTTGGAGGCTTTTTTAAGATCCGCAGATCAAGCAAGCCAAAAAGTCCTCTGACGGATCAAACATTCCATGTATGTTTCTGTCAAAAACTGACAAGTTTGCTAAAGTAACAAAACACGAAATGATCTTGACATGCGCGCCTTCAGGAATTTTTCTCGGAGGGAGGGGTCATCATTATACACCTTTTTGTGAAAGTGTATCTGCATTCAAAATTTTTCGAAGAGAGCAAATTTTCTCGGAGGGGTGGCAAATTCTAAAAACCGCTAGAATTCTACATAAAATCATGCTAAATATGCTAATTTTATGGTCCGTCCGAATTCTCATGATCCTGGATCTATTTGGAGAAGTTCATCGTTTATAGCTGAAGGTACCAAAATGACCGGTTTTTGTTGAAGTATGAAGCGTACTTGATACAATTATTTACCGAAAATGTTATTTCCAAAGAACTTCTTCATCATGCCTTCAAACTGTGCCAATAGTTTAAATATGCCAACGCAAAACCCGCATAGAGCAATAAGTATGAGAGCAACTTGATAGTAAATGCCCGATTCAGATATTGGAATATTCACGCGAACACTATAAATACTTGATATTGTTTAGCAAATTCAGCCTTACAATGGCCTAACTCATTTGCCTACATACAATCACTTACCTTCCGTATTGGACGCTACGGGTTTCATACTCCTGGAATAAATAAAAAACAGGTAAAAATCTAAGCGTTGAAGATCCGCAGTTGGTAAGTATCGAACATCTTTCCATGCAAAAATATATCCACTCAGGGTTACAGAAATAAACTTTAAACTACATTATGGCAAAAAATTAGAATAACTTACCTCCAATACCTCAACTACCTGCATGAGTCTGTCACCAATGAAAAACAGCAACAACGTCTTTCCAACACAACCGGCAAGAACGTTTCACACAATCACAAGCACTTCCACTCAAGAAATTTAAAAACTCGTTCGTTAAGTTCTTGAACAGTTATTGGTATGTCCAAACCACCGGGCCGAACAGAAGGCGAAACGATAATGATAAATGATTATTCTATAACAGTGCAAAAAGACACTAAATAGTTACTAAAAACAAATGCAAACCGCCCCGGCCACCTAGACGTCTGGGCGCTTACCCACTGATTGGATTTAAAAACTGCGTAGACGAGGAAGACATGGTAACAAAAAAGATGTTTTTTGTTTCGTAGAATCGCAAATCCTAAAGCGGTCCATACACGTTCCAGTTGTTGTATGTATAACCGCAACATTTATACTTAGGATTAAATTAAGCCTTTCTTGTTTAATAGTAGGTATTATTCATATTATATGATTGAATTCAGGAGGCGGATTGTATGATCGATGTTAGCTTCTCAAAGTGATGTCATTATAACAATGAACATAGCATATTGGCACGCTGGTAGCATCTGACAAAGATCTACTAAGATAGTAGACTATTTGCTTTACGAACCCAAGATTGACAAGTCCTCAAATAAGCATTAATGCTATTACCATTAGAGCCTAACGCTAGATATTTAGGTATGACTATTTTGATACCAGAGTCAAATTGAAGCATCATATAAAAAAATATGGAAGATCTGATCGAACCTCCGCTACAAGCAATATTATTGCTTATTGGAAAGATCTTCAAAGCTATTGCTTCATAACCAAATTATGATCTATCATCAGATCTTAAAACCTGTGTGGCTCTAATGCTGTCAGCCATGGGACTGCTCAAAGAATTCGAACATCGAAATCATCCTAGATGTTCAAAAATAAAGTTCTAAGGGGGATGGTCATTGATGAATGCTCCCTGGTATGTTTGTAATATTGGGGATATCATATCATATCATCATCCCGATCTCGGGTTATCGACCAGATCAAGGAAGCAGCGGCCAGACTCGTAGAAATGCTGCATCAACACCCCAACGCAGAAGTTCTTTAGCTGCTGGACAACCACAACCCTGTTACGCCAACTGAAGAGGACTAAGCCGTACCAGGTTGTGTAGTGTTTGTGTTCAAAGCAGAGCTTGTGCGCGAGTTCGTAGTGATAGTACTAGTTGTACACGTTAAGTTTGACTAGGCGACAACTATAGATTGCCTCTAGTGATAAGTATAAGTTTGCAGAAAGCGCACTAATATTAATGGTAAATAAAACTGATCAGTTTTAAAATACAGGCGCCAAAGCCACTCTTAAAACAAAACAAAAATAGTATCAGGTATCATTCGAAAATATGCTACTCAATTCAATAGGCCGACGGTTGTTTAAGTGGTAACGTATCTTTAACAAATGTACTCGCTAATATTGCTTGGTAAACAAACACAGATTACTGTATATTTATTTAACAATTTATAATTATAATTCCTAAGTAGGCTTACAAAATAGGAATAAGTATACAATGCAATACATAACAGTCGCACATTTAAGAAATATGGCTATTAATCACTCTAACTCAAGATTCAGACATCTAGATAATTCTTTAGAATATTCGCATCCGTCTTGAATATCTGCAATATGAAAGAAAAATGCTAAGACAATAAACACATTAAACGCAAGTGACAAAATCATAGAATGTATTTTGTAGTTGATTAAACGTATATCCACCAGTGCATGACATAATTTTTTGGATCTTTTCACAATGTAACGTAGTTCTCTAGTCATGATGGTCTATCAAAAGCTGGAATGGGAAATACTACTATTTGTTTCCTTACCATTAGTTGACAACCGCCCAAAACATTTTCTGATTTCCCGCAGCGTCTTAATTCTTTTCAAATCGTCATCCGCTATATGGTCCTGTACCCATTTTATGACAGCTGTTTCTGATGGAACTTGATCATCATCAAGCTAGAAAAGACGTAAACTAGCGTAAAATGAATCATTCTTGTTAGAATTCTTTTGGCTATTAACTGTATCGAAAACAAAGTTCTCATTTGAAAGTTAGTATAAGAAATGTTTAAATAATGAACCTTACGAAGCATCTCCATAGACTTAGCACTGGAAGAAACTGTTGATGCTCGATATGATATGCAGTAGCTTTCATGACATTATATACACACACACACACACATATATATATATATCCACGATTATAGAAATTTAGCAAGTATTACGAACCAGGTATTGAAATAAAGTAAAAAAAACGTACCAATTCCATATATCCAAAAATGCACTGGCTGACGCACTGAAACAAAATGAAAAATAAGGTGATTATTCTGCTTAACTGTTTAATGTGACATTCTGACCTGGTTGTCATTATCTCTTTTATTGTATCGCTTTAGCCGTATCTTGCTATTAGAGCCTCTAACAGCAAAATATCCGCTATCTGGTCTCCTGTTATAATTACCTAAAAAAGGAATCATAATGAATATTAAATATAGTATCTGCATAAGGGCAATGGGAAACATTTGATTGCAACTTACTAGTTTGATAGCTCATCATAGATCTTCCATAGCCATCCTCATATCCACCAGATCTGCTGTTAGAGTCTCTGTTAGAGTCTCGATTCCTACTATCATAGTTATTAGTTCCTTGGTTGTTACTATTGGAATATCCTCTACCATACTCGGAATATCCATACCCACTAGATGATCTGTCATTGCCTCCCCTATCGTAAGGCATGTCACAGTTCTTATTTCTATCTCTGTTGTCACTGTAGGATCCTCCGTAGTTGTTATATCCGTTATTGTAATATCTGTACAAGAGAACACATACACATTGTGTAAAAAATGTCAAGAAAATACAAGGACATATTTGTGACGTAAAAACTTCAAAACAGGGTTTCCATATAAGCATAGGTCCAAAAATTTACCGTTTCCGGGTGATTAAACTTGTTGCTGATCAAAAATTATACGTTATTGTTTGGTATTATAGTGTCGTTTTCTCTGCATGAAAAGTTTATCTTCTGGTTTTTCATCATATAATGTTCTTTAAAAAGTTCCAGCTCGATTAATACTTTGCAATAGCGATTAATAATTAGATTGGTATACTAGTTAGTAAAATAATTTTATTTCGTAACAGTGCGTTTGAATGGAAGACTCCAACGCAGCTTTGAAGTAGAATCAATCTGGCTTGAAGGAGCCTATACTAATTTGTTGCAAAAAGTAGCAACGTTCTATTTTTTTCGCTATAGACTTGCCGGCACTAACGCCACTGATGTAAATGCTTTAGAAAACAGTTTTGTACATACGTACATATTAACGTCACTCTTATTGTGTAGCAGAACTGATTTCAAGATCTTAATCTATTTATTTGCAAAATGCAAGATGAACAGACTGGTTTAAGTATTATCATTGATTCTACCTGATATTAGCCATACAATCATGAACTGGATTTATGCGTCCAAAAAATTATCCGAGATGAAATGAGATGCCCTGGCATCTTCGCGATAATTAGGAATCTCCTTTGAAAAAAGGCATACAGTTGGCCATCTATGCGACACTAACATTTACAAGGAAGATTTCTGATTATTGAGCAGATGAGAAGCATAGCTATGATAAATTCTCATAGATGACACCAGGGTCCTTTCATCCCAGTAAATTTTTTGGACGCCGAAATACAGTGTATATGGGTGGCTATCTTCAGGTAGAATACGTTAAACAATCGTATCATAGAAACGAGACATTTCTGGACGTTTGTTCGTATGAACTTTTTTCATATTTCAACGTGCTGGATCTGTCAGTAAAAATAAGTGAAAACCTAGCGAAAAGAGTAAGAATGCACGAATAAATGAGTTCATGGGACCGAAACGTATATACAATAAAAAAAAAATTAAACACATGTTGTTTGATTGTCCAGACAAACATGGAAGATTATCGATATCAAAATTGCAGCATAATCTTCAAAAGTTAAAAACTACATAAAGTTCGCCAATTACGATATAAGTATCGCACTCTTAGCTTGAGGATAATATAAGAATCATACCTATCATCATTTTGGCCGTCACTGTTGCCATTGTTTCCATTATAGCCATTTCCATTATTGTAACGATTGTTACTGTCGCCATATTCATTGTTCCGGTCGTTCTCGTATCCGTAATTCCTATAAAAGTTGTAACTTTGATTATACCGTTTAAATACCTCCGACGATTCTCTTTTGGCACGGTACCTTCCTCTGTTATAGTTGTTGCTATCCCCGTTGTTTCTATTGTTGTTATTGTCAGAGTTACTGTTGGAGGAGCATCTGCTCATCATTCTATTTGTTGCACCTTCAAGAATAAAGGATAGTCCCTCTTAGTCCAGGATTCTAAATATATTCGTCGAAATAATAATAATGATGATAATAAAGTGACTTTATTGGTAATCTTCCACATCATGGCGGAGTTTAGCTTGATTGCTACCCTTCCGCTTAACCATAATATGAACGAAACATAACAACAAGTTTATACACGCAACGTAAAAAAATACATGTCCATCATATACGTATGGACGCAAAACGGGCAGGCTATCCATACAACGGGATAAGTTGACAAGCATATCTAATATGAAGCGGATATTAATCGAAAGTTCTTTTGTTGTACCTTGGTCTGTACATTCTACACCTTAAACTATGAAGGTTCAAGATCTTGAAATTGCACCATTTGTGTTGTATGCAAATTTACCTTAGCATGGTGAATGTGTATAGAAGAATAAATTTGATAAAATGTGTCCAGCAACACATCCCTGCCAACACTACCATTTCTAGTGTTGAGTCCACTCTGTATGTACTATTCAAATTGACAATTACCGGTTGTTTCAATGTGTGCATTCAAATTATGTTTTTGCTTTAATCTATTACCAGCACCATAGTGGAAGTGGAATTTCTCCCCAACCGCCGGCACGTAACACACCTAGTAGCAACTAAATCGGTTTGAACGTGAACCGTTTTCAGCTTTCTCCCAAAAATTCATTAGACTATGTATTTCCTTCCAGACTTACAATAACGGTTTGATACTGCTCGAGTTTCATACGGTCGGATTTTGAATACTTTCCTTCACTACATAAAATAGCTTACATGGGAATATGGCACAAGATCAATACGTCGGAAAGCATGGATTGATTAACTTCCGAGGCAAATATTTAAATAGATTTTGAGGTAACTTTCGTGTACCTATCAAGTTTCATACGATTACACATTGAATAATAGGAATATATTAGAGGAAAATAGCGCTGGTTTTATTTTATTTTATTCGACAACAAAGAATGAGAAAACGTGTTTTTTGGGATTCAATCGAAAGTGTTGAGACCTACAAAATTAGATCACACGTAAAAAGATCCGACTAATAGCAAAAAAGTTATGGTCGAAAACGGAGGCAAACTGCAGATATTTGACATTCTTCAAGTTCGTAGGATTCGTACTTCTTTACAACCACAACAAAATTGGAGATGATTGATCAAGTAGTCTTTGAAAATTTCTAATTGTATATCCCAAAACACCTGTTTGTCGGCCATCACTACTAGTTTTTGAGCAATATACAGGGTTAGTTCAAATAGCATTTTATAGCAAAGTACACAAGTTTACCTTGCCGATATGAATCGCAAACCATTTCGGAAGATAAATCGTATTTGTATGCAAAAAAGGATGGTTTACGTTTTTTCTTCTAAACAAATTCAAACATTTCGTTTTTGTCACTAATTCGCAACAAAAGATGATTGACACATCCGCTTTGTTTTAAAATGTGTATAGTAACGTATGTTTTTCGAATATCATTGCACATTATTTGTTCAGTTACTCACAAATACGAAATGTTTGAATTTTTTTAGAAAAATGGTTTGTGATTCATATTGGCAAGGTAAACACGTGTATTTTGCTATTAAATGCTCTATGAACGAACCCTGTACATTGCTCAATAAATTAGTAGTGATGTCCGGAATACAGGTGTTTAATAATAATAAATACCTAAAAATCTTATAATCTGTAAAGTTTTTTCGTGCCTGTCAACACTTTCGATTGAATCCCAAAAACACGTTCTCTCATTCTTTATTGTCAAGTAAAAAGTTTTCGCACAAAAATTGTGTACCCATTTTATGCGACCATGTTTTAAACCCCCTTGAACAACCAGACTTTACAATTGTTTCGGGGAAATTTGCTAATATGATTAGACTAACAATACACCTTGAACATAAAGGAATTTCGCAAGTTTCTTGAAATTCCGACCAATACAAGCACCACCTTGGCGGTGAGGAAAAGGAAGAATTCTTAGGATTAACGCATGCATGCGTGTCATCAATCAATTAAAAGTAAAGTAGCAGTATAGTTAAGACAAAAAAAATGAGCAATACCTTTGAAGTCGTTTTCGTCAAAGTCATTGTTATTTCCATCTGTTCTATTATCATTGTTGTTACCGTATCCAGCCGAATCCCGTAGCACATCCTTCAAACGCATGTTGTTACTATCACTACTGCACACACTTATCGCGATCATAAACGTACATATTTTCAAAAAAATAAATTTTCTGGACCTCATTGCTTTAAGTTGAAATGGACTAAAGTAGGTTGGCATTGGGTATTTATACGTAATTTATACACCAGAAGTCGATGACAAGAGAGGTCATATGTGAAATAGTTAAAACAATTTTGGTATGTTGTGAACAAAAGGTAATTTGACATTGATTGTAGTAGCATGGTATATGACTGAAAAGGAAGCTGGATGTTAATGTGTCGAGGTAATTCTTCCCAGGTCTCATATTCAGGAAACTGTTATATACCTATCTACCGTATGTACTGAGTGGATCATTATACGCCAAGAGTTGACAATACTCATTTCTACTGATTGCACTTCCTACGTCACTGGTGGAGAATGTTTTGCAAGCGCGAGAAATTTCGAAAATGAGATACGTTTTTTTGGTGTTATACAGGGTTATCCAAATTAAGTGTCCACCATTAGTAACTTTGTTATTAGTGAAAATACAAAGTTGTTTGAATTAGCAAACTAGTAGCATTTTTAACGCTGGTAAAAATGAGAAATAAAAAAAAACAATTGAGAGTCGTTATTTTGATTTTTTTCAGTAAAATAACATTTTTTTAAATGGAAACCCCTGTATATTACATTTTTTTGTATGGTCCTACCATCTATCTGGGTTATCTTTTCCCTAACTGCAGTCTTTAACGCGTCAAGGTTATCGTACCTTCGCTTGTAAATTTGGTTCTTTAAGTAACCCCACAAGAAGTAATCAAGTGGGTTTAGATCTGGTGATCTGGGAGGCCACTGTATTGGGCCATTTGTTCCTATCCACTGATCATTAAAAGTAGTACTTAGAAAATGATAAGTACCTCTGGAGTTGTGGGCAGGTGCGCCATCTTGCTGAAAATGCAGATGATGTCTACTTATAAGATCCAATTCGTCTAAGAAATTAGTCAGAATTTCTGACATAAATTCCACATATCTTTCACCAGTTAGGGTTCCCTCATAAAAGAACGGGCCAACAATTTTTGAACCAATTATACCGCACCAAACGTTAAAACTGAAACGGACTTGTGGGCCTCTTGGATGTACTAACAAAAGATTTTCTCTTGACCAATAATGGTGGTTTTTTGTATTAAACATTACAGAATTTGAAAAATTTGATTCATCTGTCCATAAAAGGTAACGAAAGTTATTTACATTTTGGCGACAGAAGCTAAGATACCAATGGCAAAAAACAAGTCTTCTCTCTGGATCCCCTGCCAAAAGCATTTGAACTGGTCGGTACTTATACGGAATAAATTTGTATTTTTTTAAAATCCTTTGAACAGTACCATAACTGAAATTAGAGTCCTTGAGAATATCTGCTATTGAATTCTCACGATAAGCTTCAAAATATCCAATAACTGCAATTTCCGTGGCCTCGCTTATTATGAATTCTTTTTTTGCCCTTGTTTTAGCAAAAACATTTTCGTTGCCCCTAAATTTTCGATAAAGTCTCAGAAAATATCGTTCATACGGTTGAATGCGAGCGGGATATAATTCACTGTAGTATTCTCTTGCTCTCAAGGAGGATTTTCTGCACACTAAATAGCATTCTAACATATCACACTTTTCTTCATGGGAGAACATTTTTCTTTAAATTAATGACACAATAAAGCTTATAAACAAGTATTTACACTAATGTTTGACATTATTTGATTTTATCATTGTTTTCCAAAGCCTTCTAGTTGCGAGTATGTCCAGTTTAACAATTTGTCGCTTATCTTAATGCTGTCAAATCGCGAACGCCATGTTGTTTTCATAGCCGTCTTAATATTATAATACTGCAAATAATTAAAAATATTTATCGTTATTTTGACTTTATTTTTGACTTTAGCGGAAAAGTCATTATGAACTTTTTTGTTTAAAATTTGATGCTTTAACAGAAAAAAATATAATATACAGGGGTTTCCATTTAAAAAAATGTTATTTTACTGAAAAAAATCAAAATAACGACTCTCAATTGTTTTTTTTATTTCTCATTTTTACCAGCGTTAAAAATGCTACTAGTTTGCTAATTCAAACAACTTTGTATTTTCACTAATAACAAAGTTACTAATGGTGGACACTTAATTTGGATAACCCTGTATAACATGTACATCCCGAAAAAACATATCACTCATTTCTGTCGGTCTGGCTGTTTGTCAGGTACCTAATCCTTGGGTCCTCTTGGAAATTACTGCTCGGATTTGGATGAAATTTTTGTACAAGGTCACCACTAAGCCAATCGCCAAGAAGCTTTGAAGTTTTTAAAGATCGGTCCAGTAGTGGTAGAAAAAAGGTCAAAAACAAAAAAGTAAAAATCGCCTAAACGTCGTTTTTTGACTTTCAGAGGATCCTGAGCATTTTTGAAAAAAAATTAGGGGAATAAAATTGGGGGGTTGTAGGGGGGTAGGGGTATCTATATCTCAATTTTGTTATGTTAGTATATTTATACGCTCCCAACTGCGATATTTCTACACACCCATAAGTCATATTTCCACATCATAGATTTCTCCGTACACTTGTATTTAAAACTGAAACTGAGAAATGTTTTAGGTATGCGTTTCTTTCTGCTATCTGGGCCTAACGCTAGGCGTAATAGTCTGCTTGATTGTTCTGCTCGTTCTGCGGCTGTGCTTTGGTGGCCGCTGCCGCGTCTGACGATGTGGGAAGGAGCAATGCTGCCACACGGACGCTAACGACTGGTAGCGCAGGAAAAGAACATTTATGGACTATTTGTATGGGCCTGTTTGACTGACTTGATCTGTTCAATTTTTCTATGTGTACCTACTGCATGACATAGGAAGTGCAAAGTCAACCTACTTGAAAAAATCACAGCAGGTGGTCCTTAATGTGCGTAACGGACCATAAGGCTCCTGCCAGGTCGGACTTTTTACGGTATGGATAAAGGCATGTATACCTATATGATCGTATTTTTTGTCATCGACGAGTTTTTGGCTTCGTCAGTGACAATGTATTGATTAAAATTATCCTGTAGTTTTCGTACTGATAGAAATCGATGATCGTCTGGTCAAATCGAACCACAAAATATACAAACATTACTTTTTCTAACCATTCGATCGAAATTCATACATATACCATATTCCACGAGTATCCTTTGACGTCTACTGAGGTAAACAGCTGATCAGCAAGTGGCATTTTTCTGTTAGTCTTTAACGTCGGCAATAATGAATCAACTGTAAATCTAGTAAAACTTGTTTGTAGCGTTTGGCTTTTTGTATGCAAATTAACTTTTCTAAATAAAAGAGCTTTTAGCAAGTACAAAATGAACCTGAAGCGTACAAAAAATCAAAACATAATATGTCTCTCTCTACCTGGCCTTGACGATTACGTCCAAATTCTCCTTTGCCGATATGGGGACTTTTGAAATAATACTAGATAATCAGCGGTCATTCTACCGTAATAGATACTCGTGAAAAAGCTTATATGTGGTTTGTTCTGGCCAGACCATCCTGGAGATCTAACACTTTTTTGATTTCATTTGAATGAGGAAGCTCCTTGCAGCGTGTTGGTCTCCAATATAAATCACTAACTATGGCTATACTTGTAACTTGTAAATAGGGGATAGGGGTCCAAGAAAATTTTTGCGATGTCTCCAATATGCTGAGGTGCCCTTTGGGGTTGTGTTCGGTTGCGTAGATCACGAATCTGATGTTGGTTGAGATATACGAGGGGCCCTAAACTATCCAACTTCATATCGAGCTTAAAGTCACTTTGGGATGTAGCAGGTTTGGTCACCTGTAATAATGAGAGACAGAAACCGACAAGAAACTTAGAGATTAGGTGCATTTAAGAAAAAAATTCTCGCTTATTTTCAATCTTCACCAAAACCTGTCTCTTGGGTACATCGAGTGCACCGATGACGCTTTCGGTTTTAAGCTTTGGTTGATGGAAGGTCCGAAAAGTTTTATTTTCCTATTTCAAATAGAGGTTTCCTGCAGTTTTTTCAAGTCATATTCAAAATCACCGTTCAGAGTCACTCTGAAGTTTGAATGTGCTGATGAAACTATATTAAGTGACGGGAATTGGAACACCCACTTAAAATTGTTTTATTTAGACATAGGTATGAGGAAAATGTATGAGATCGTTCGAAGTGAAAACATTTACTATACGCTGGATTTCTCTAATGATGTGTAAGGTCACCCTGATGCCATATACGAGTACATTCGTCCAGGTATTAAAGGGGCACGCTTCTGAAGAGTTGATTTATGTCTTCTATTCCCCACAATCATATCCGACACATGTTCAATAGGCAAAAGTCTTGTAGATGTAGGAGACCAAGAAATGAAGCAGACCCAAGCGTTATTGAGGTAGTTCATTGTAGCTGAGGTAATATGGGGAGGCGCGTTATCTTATTTGAAAATAAAGTTGTCAAGCTTTTGGGGGAATGGCAAAAAATGAGATTCCACTGATTTCTGGGGATATACCGTTGCACCAACATATATCCTCTAATCAAATCTAGAGGTGATTTGACAACGCGTCGGCTTTTGGCTAATGTTTGCCCAACATGGATTGCCATATACGCTCTCAGGGGGGAGGAGGAGCTTGTTACATTTTGCTATTCCAAATAGGGTTTCACGACACTTTAGCATCTTGAATGGTCTTATTCAGAGGGATGAGTTTCGTTCGGGTACAACAATGAGAGACGAGGATAGATATGTTTTTCTCTCAAAAGTCCCATTTTTTCTCTCCAAATTGGACTTTGTAACACTTGGCAATTTTTGTTCATTGTATTCCAGTTCAGCACCCCAAACTATTATCTAAATGCGCAAAGTTTTTTTGGACTGAAGTGGTAAAATTTTGAAATTCTAAAATTTCTTACGACGAAATTATGAAAAAAATCGCTATTGCTTCACAACAACTTGTGCGTACCTCTAATCTAGCCGATAATTCATTTCTTGGGTAAAATCTGTGCCCGACATACTTTGTTACTATGACTAACTTGGAGGTCTCATTTCCACACAGTAATTTCTTATCGTACATATTCGAACTCAGCGCCAAAAATGACCCGAACAATGAGAAAGAGAAATGAAAATTTTGAACAACTCTCATGTTGGACAGTCTTGCGCGGAAATTTCGGATTACCCTTGCGCGTCTGTGATTTTCGTGAAATCTCGTTTTCCGGGTAAATTGGGTACATACTCGTACATGTTGTATAATTGTTTGTATTATAATTGAACAATCTCGCATAAATTAATAATACACCATTAGTCCATTGCCAGGCCAGATTCAGCGTAGCTAACTATTCTTATGCACCCTTGGATTGAACGAAATCCGACCTAGAATCTAGTAGTTATTTTTAATTGTATATTCTCGTCCAAACTCCAAAGCATTTCTGGTCAGCTTGTACCGGGTAAGAGTTCATTACAACAGCAAGAAAGTTTCACAGATATGTCACAAGAAAAAGAAAAGGAGTTTGATAGTGTAGAATCTATTCTTTCTAAGTTACCTCAAAAGGAATTCAGACAAGTTTGGAGGATTTTGTACGGTGATGGCACATTGTAAGTACTTACAGGTTTTGTGTTATTTTCGAAGAAATGGAAAAGCTATGTTGCTAATCACTTCAACGTCCAGCTTTATCCTAATTTAACATACTTCTAAGCCATGTACCACGATATATTATTATATTTTAACGGATCCAAGTTCGACATACCATATAAACTGCTTAACTTAATTAGCTATTCATCTTTCTTTGATCACTTGTGTGTGTGTGAATGAGCAAACATGCTTAGTTTTTTAACCAAAAAGGTACAAGAATGTAAAATTTTTAATTCAACACATTTTTTTACAAAAAAAAAATTAATCGAAATAGTACTCTTTCCGCTAAGCACTTCACTTTCATATGCACAACTTTAATCATTGTATCGCGAAAAAATAATTGAGTTATGCAGGCATGTTTTACATAGGAAAAATTAACATTACTTTATGTTATTCTGGTATTATAATACCGTATTATAATAATAATAATATTGTTTTTATTTTCCACAATCAACTGAAAAGCTATTCCAAAAGTCAACCCTATAAGTTTTAAATGGGAATAAGTGATCATCATCGCCATACTGTGAAAATCCACTTCAGCAGTTCCAACTCCCTGGTGGTGTCTCATTCTTGAGACTGTATACTATGTAAGCTTTGGGATTAGAATAGGGTTTTAATTGGATCTAGATCAAAGTTCAATTACTATACAGGGTGTTTCACAGCTTTTCCGACAAATTTCAACCACATATGCACTGTTACGGAGGAAGAAAGATTTTTCAAATATAAAAAAATGTAATAAAAGTCCCACAGAAATCGAAATAATAAAATAATACATTTTAACAGTTCACTTACTTATAAAAGCTGTTCAAAATTGTTTCCATTGAATGCAATGCACGCTTGGGCGCATCTAATCCAATGTCGGCGCACTAATTCAAATACATCTCCTTCCTGCTGTGTCTGAAGGCTCAAATTATCGGCAGCCACTGTGATTCGGTCACGCAATTCTTCAATATTCTGAACTGGAGTACGGTATACCTCGTTTCTCAAGTATCCCCATAAAAAGAAGTCCATAGGATTTAGATCGGAAGACTATGGAGGCCATGGTTTAAAGAAAAACCATGTTGGAAGTATGTCTGGACCACTGCGTGAGGATTCTCAAAGGACCAAACGTGTGTATTATGAAGATTGGTTATCCCATTACGGGTAAAAATACCTGCAAAACAAGCATTTCGAGCAATTTCTTGCAACAACCACTCACAAAATCTTACTCTTAGGGGGTAGTCTGTTGGTAGCAAGGCCTGGACTATATGGACGTGATAAGGGTACAGTTGGGCCTCATGTAATATGCGCCACGCTGTTGCATGTGACACTTCTGGGACCTGTTGGGCTAACTGCCTTGTGCTTATTCCCGGATTTTCTTCCTCAATATCCAAAATTTCGTCTTCGGTATTTAAAACGCGTTGTGGGTGCAAATCTCCACTAGCACGTGCACGAGGAGACGCTCGCGAATTTTGCCCTGCTTCTCCGTACGCTAAAACAATGTCCACTAACTCCTCATTAGTGTGCACATGTGCCATTTTTATTAATACATAACCAAAAACATAAACTCGCAAAATACTTTCTTATTTAACTTCACAGAAATCGACTGTTCTTCATTCAGATCACCCACGATACAGATTAAACCTTATTTACACGTTCTTATCAGTATGAAAAAACAAAAAATTCCTGGTATTTTGTTTTCGTCAGTTGTTTGGTACAACATTTGCTACAATAAATTATTATTGAAACTCAGGTTTATAGCTTACTTTCTGTAGGACTTTTATTACATTTTTTTTAGAAATCAAACTCTTCCGTAACAGTGCATATGTGGTTAAAATTTTTTGGATGAGTGGTGAAACACCCTGTATATATTTGTTTGTTGTGAACAGTTAGTACACATGCGACAATTTCCTGATTGAAGTAAAAATGCAGATGAAAATCCTAGATTTAAAAAAAACCTAGAGTGGTTTTCATGATTTTGAACTTTTACGGTTGAGGATGTTCGACAAAAGAAATTTGGTCCACGGATTGTTTAAACACACTTCTCATCTTATTCGAATTTCCAAAGTTGCATGTATGTTAGACGTTCCATGGAGATGGGATTTCAGAGTAGTATTCGAATCTTTTAAAGCTTTTGATAGTCGGATTTAACCTTGTTTTAGCGAGTTGGAACTTTCTGAGAAATGCAAAAAGCTAGCAGCCAAATACAAAGTACAACTGATATCACGTACATTCACAAATCTCAGAGAAGAACAATTGAGATCTACGAGAATAGTGAGGATTGGATTATTTCAACAAAAATTGCCCGTACCACCGACTTATTCTATACGAAAAGTCAAAGTGGAGATGTACACATTAGCTACTGACGCTATAAAAATCGCTGCTAAAGGTGGAGTTAATGTATTCTGTTTGCAGCAGGCTTGGAGTAAGTTTGGCTTTAAATTAAAGGATCTTTGTACGTCTAACAACTGAGTAGTGTATGTGCATACAGTCTTGACAAAAATTCTCTCCACTTTCTTGGCTTTGGACTTCACTGTTCAGATGGAAGTGTGCGTCAGAAAATATACGTGCGGACGACTCATACCAAAAAGCTGGCAAAAATACAATTTCAACAGGAAGTAATACGATTTTGAGTATAATGTTAGTTTGTCTCTATGGCGGTAATTGCAGGTCGCTTCAAGGTCATATCAAGGACAGTTTCAAAAGGAGCCAAGCAGTTGAGCTCAGCCGCACGTCATTTAGTTTTTTATAGTTAATCAGCCCAAAGCCCAAATCAGAGGTCAATCAGTAACTAAGAGGGCATCTGCCATATAAGTGTTTGTGGTCCATGAGTCAAAATAAGATTTTGTTTCTAGTAACCCAGGCATCACAAGCCCGTATAAATGACGTTACTAACTGGCCATGAAATGGCGAGAACAAGAGTTGAATTACGTAAAAGTACCGTACAAATGACCTCCTAATGTCACATACTAAATCACGTCAATGGAAAACGTCAATAATACGTCACTTGCTGGACGTGAACATGACGACTACTTCCCCTTAAACATGTTTGGTATCTGGGTAGCCAGACCTGACAGACTAACAGACCGACGAGACTTTTAACTAAGAGCAAAGGTCCACCGGACCGCTCTGACGAATAATGACGAATAGTATGACGACTATTATTTGTAATGATTTTAAACAGTTTGAGCGGTTTCAAAAATTCATATAATGTGTGATACTGTGTAATACTACTGTATTACAGAGAAGAAGCAACATATTGTAACACTCGATTGGTGCAGCTCACCTAGCAGCGAAAGAACGACCTATTACTGGACCACCCATCCCTTACTTAACCAGTTTGCACGACTTTTAGACCATATGAGCTGGATAATACACATGGTACTATAGATAACATGCTAAAGAATCGAAGTCACTTTAGCCTGAAATTGTTTCCAAATTGCCTATTTTTCTATAGTTTTGGGAATATTCAGTACGTGGGAGTTGGAGCAACGGGATGCGGGTACCGTGCACAAAAGGCGGCAGCAAGGAAGAAATAACGTCGGTTAGTCGATTGCAGAAATCCGCGATTGTCATTCACTGTCAAATGTTACTGGATACAGCTTTGCTAGATTAAACCCAGGCACGTTTTCAACAATACGTAACATATTAGATAGCTAAAATGTGATGTGATAATAAGTTTATTTTGTATTCATTTTGCACTCACTCTTTGAGTTGCTCTGAATGAACATCGATTAGGGATGGAATGAGATAATTATTTCTCTGGCCGCTAACTTGATCTGTTTTGAATCGGAAATATTTATTCTAAATCAACACAAACATCGTACATTTAAAAATATATGTTTCAAAAAAGATAGCCACTGCAGTACACGTGCACAATTGGACCTTTAGCAGACGTCATTACAACGTCAATATTAGGAACAATCACGTCAATTGACAAGTTATCCCCAAATTTCGACGTAAGTATGACGTGCTTGAGCTAGTTGTTAGGCATTTGACGGGTATTTCAAGGTCACTCAAAGGATAAATAAAAAAAGTTTAATAACAGTATTCGACTACCTGTAATGATATGGCAGTATATAAGGTTATATCTCTTTATAGCTTGCGAAAATTAGTGAAAACTGACACTAGATTCTATCTGACGGTACTTCAAGGTTCACAAGCATAATTTACAGCAGTTTGACTTAGGGCGAAACCTGATTAAAAACCTCTTTGAATAATACTCATATAAAGAGGTGAAGCTAATTCGATGATACCTAAAAAAATTAAATATTACTTTGGCTCATATTTTCTAGGGCTGGGATAGAGTGTAGGGAATAAGGTTGTAGAAAGTATATTCCTTAAAATCTGCTTAGCCCCGTGTACTCAATTCTTCTACGTCGTTTCATTCTTCCCTACGTTAACCAAGCATAACTAGACTCTTCCAGACTCATTCTCGATGACTAGACACAATAAACTAACACTTGATTACCTATAACCCATTCGTAGTCCATTTAAGCCCAGACAAAACGCAACATGCCCAAAAGCGAGATTGTACAGGTCCGTATTTTCCTCAATGGTCTAGGAATAATCTAACAAAGTAATTGATTTTTATAGAAAGAAGTGCACATACTTTTTACAACTCTTTATTCGCTGGAAGTACTTGAATCATCCTCCGAATGGTTAATATTAATTATTATAGGTTCAATTTGAATATCGATCACTGAAAAGGAAGCATGGCTGAAGAAAGCATTGGAAGAAATATTCTCAGTTTCATCTGCTGTATCCGTAGATGACATGCTAACGTATAAGCACACGCTATACAGGGTGTTCCATAATTATTGCGACAAAATGATAGGGGTTGTAGAGGGCATAAAAATATGCAATTTTGCCTTATAAACCCCTGTTCGTAAATATGCCGTTTGAGCACTACAGTTAATTTTACCTTAAGAGCTCATAGGAGAAACAAAAAATTCACCAGCTGCAAAATGTTCGTCTAGCACATTTCATGGTCTCGCCGGTTTGTAAAAAAAGCCTGCTGTGTTTACATTTTTGTTATCGTACACCCGTATCACCTTTTAAAAGTCCAAGCCATGGGTCCAGCAGACTATCTGCCGCGTCGACGTTTTTGTCGTTGGTGGCTGCAGCAGGAGTTGAGGCAACCAAACTTTGGTCGCTACGTTTTGTTCACTGACGAGTCCTGTTTTACAAAGGACGGTTATTTTAATAGCCGTAACAGTCACATTTGGGATGAAGAAAACCCTCATGCCATAGCCATCCATAGAGACCAACATCAGTTTTCAATTAACATCTGGTGCGGCATTGTGGACGAGCATATCATCGGGCCATATCTGCTTCCACCACGTTTGGATGGGCATGCTTATGGTCGATCCTTACAGCATGTGCTACCGGAACTATTAGAAAATGTGCCACTGAATATAAGAGCCAACATGTGGTTTCAACACCATGGCGGTCCAGCCCACTTTTCTTTACAAGTGCGGCAGTATTTGGACGACAAATTTCCAAATAGGTGGATAGGCCGAGGTGGCCCTGTGCCTTGGCCTGCGCGGTCACTTGACCTGACCCCACTGGATTATTTTATCTGGAGCTATCTGAAAGCTTTAGTGTACGAAACTCCTGTTCCCAACCAACAAGAGCTACTGGGAAGAGTGATGGCCGCGTCCGCACATGTTCAGGACATACCGGGGGTATGCCACAGAGTTCGCCGATCATTGAACAATCGTGCACAGCTGTGTATTGAGCAAGGTGGAGGACACTTTGAGCAATTACTGTAGGTAAGCTGTTTCAAGAAACTGATCTTTTTTTTTGCTGCAGCCCAAACGGCATATTTCCGAACAGGGGTTCATAAGGAAAAATTGTTCATTTTGATGCCCTCTACAACCCCTATCATTTTGTCGCAATAATTATGGAACACCCTGTATATGCACCGAATATGAACAGCAACTTATGGTCGAATGACCAATAACTATTGCAACGCTTAGGCGGCTGCCGCTTTGCCGCGCTGCATCTTTGTTGTGCCGGTGCGTAAATGGACTACGAATAGGGTATAGCTCGCTCTATATAAAGTTTGTATGTGTGTCTTATGGACACCGACTCACCAAACCTACGCCACGTCAACGCCCGTCATCTGGACTTACCCTTACCGTCAAAACTTATGTTGTTCATCTTAACGTATGTTCGTTGCTTAAGCTAGCCTTGGGTGGAAAAGTACGTTCACTATAATTAATATGATATCTGCTAAACAAACTGTTTCTTATTTGATTCAGATATGCCGTATGCATTTTGTCCCGGGGAACATATGGCTTGGAGTGACTATGCTGAGCGGGCTGAGGATGGGCCATCAACTAGAATACTGCAGGCGGTATGGTTTAATAGTTTCTATCTTAGATACAGGATGCTCTGAAAGTTGGGACTTTCCACTGTGACTACCTCGATATTCTTTGTACGATATGGCCAAACATACGTAGTTTAGTACTATCTTTGGAGCCAGCAGCATTTGAAAACATATGGGCACAATGGTCACATTTTTGTAAATTCCACCCCTAAGGGGGTAAAGTGGGTATTCGCACTTTTCAAGCTTTTTCAGAGAATCTAGAATATAATAATAATAATAATAATAATAATAATAATAATAATAACGCCTTTATTCATATTTTGTACATGTGAGGGACAAAGATAGCGAAGTTTAGCTTGAGCTACTCTTACACTTAACTACCTTTGTCTGTACTTTAAGCACGATGTTGTGTGCAATTCCAAAAAAGAAGAGAAAAAAAAATATATAAGAAAAACTAAGGAGTACAGAAAGGTTAAATCACTAATCAACTAAACTAAAGAACACTACAACTATATACACTATGTACACGTATGCCTAAACGGCTCAGAAAATCAGTTATATAAATATCAGGGAAGAGTGAGCATAAATTGCTTGATTTGCCTTCGAAAACGAGCAAAAGACATTTCCCTGTACTTTCTGGGCAAAGCATTGTAAAATACGGCAGCATTATACGAGAAACAACGCTTGAAGAGTGTCATAGAGTATGGAGGTATCCTGATCATAATACGGTCCCTGGTAATCCTGTCATGAATTTCTTGATTAAATATGATCTTTTCTCTCAGGTATGCAGGTCTTGACGCAGCTATCAACTTGTGCAAAAACAATAAGTATTTGCACCGCACATGTTTATCAATTCTTAGCCATTTCATTTGGCTGTATTTGTCACTAACATGGTCAAATCTCCTCAATCCATGAATAAAGCGAATGCAATTGTTTTGAATTATTGGAAGCCTGCTTTTCATCCGTTCATCAAGACATGGGTAATATAAAATATCACAATAACTGAGAATTGGCAACACAAGAGACTCACAAAGTTTTTTCCTCAGTTTAAAGTTCAGAAGGTGGCGATTGGCATATAACGCTCTCATTCGACCATACCTTTTTTTAGCTAAGGACATAACATGCTCCCTAAATCTCAATTTGCTATCTACTTCAACACCTAAAATTGTAGCTGAATTAGCAATCTGCAGCAGCGAGCCATCAAGGTTAACTTTAAATGTATTCTCCACGACACTTCTCCTTGCGTCGGAACAAAATAGTAATATTTGAGTCTATCTGGATTAATGTTTAGATTATGGTCACTTGATATTTTGCACTTTGCTCAGATCCTGCTCTAATAGGCAGCAGCATCCTGCGAACAAGAGGCGTCAAATAATGAATGAGTTGAATGTCATCAGCAAAGCTTAGTAAATCGAAATGTGCGACAGATTTGTGCAAATCAAAAAGTGTATATGAGAAATAACACAGGGCTAGTATGGAGCCCTGAGGGATTCCTGATGGTATCATACTGACTTCTGATAGCCTGCTGCCTACAGAAACGCACTGCATACGGTGTGAGAGGTAGTTTTTTTGAAGAATTGGATAGCTATATTGTCAAATCCAATGTACTTTAACTTAGAAAGTAAAAGCACATGGTTAATTTTGTCGAATGCTTGGAGTAGTCAATTGAAACTAGGGAAACCGCCATTTTTTTGTCCATAGCTCTTATAACGTTGTCGCACAGATTTAATAATGCAGAGGTGTGTGCTGTGATATTTCCTAAATCCAGATTGATTTAAAGGATGATGCATTATATTCAATAAAAGACTCTACTTGAAACTGAACTGCTTTTTCCAGTATTTTTGACAACACAGGCAACAAACTTATGGATCTTAGATGAGTAACATCAGTAGGTTTTATTGTTTTTTGGCGTTGGTAATATCAATGCATTCTTCCAGGCTTTGGGAAACAGCCTCTTCAATGCAAGTGTTAACTATGTTACAATATGATAAAATATTATGGTAAACTACTTTGATCATTGTAATTGACAGCGTATAAGGCCTTTAGCGTCTGATTTTAGACCTTTTACTATATCAAAGATCTCTTGAGGACTTAAGATTCTCAAAGAAAAAGATTAGACGGATTTAGTTTATTGCTTCTATAAAACTCGCACACATTTTCCGGCACACTATCAACATTATAAACTGACATGAAATACCTGTTTATCAGATTAACATCACTGATGTTATCAGGCAAAGTATATTGTTACAAGACTTTATATTAAGTTTATTTATGCCTGACCAAATCTTCCTCGATTCATTTGCTCAGAAAGTACTGCCAGATATTCTTTTTTTGCCTTTCGAATATCAATAAGGACTTTATTCCTAATGCGACGATAGTTTTCATAATTAATTGCAGTCTTATCTTGCTTATATCTTGCTAACGCAGTAACTTTAGCGTGCATACCTTTTTTTTATTTCATCAGTCAGCCATGGCGCAGGTGGCTTAGAAACACGTACAGATCTGAGTGGAGCATGTTTATTGAATAATTCGACTAGGATATTTGTTAAATGGTCAACTTACTGTCAATGTTGGGATAAAAAACAGATCATCGACGGAGGAATTAGCGAGATCATTAAGGAATGCTGCATCATCAAAACATTTTAAAATCCCTGAAAGTTACAATATTTTGCTTCTCTTGAATTTATTTAACTAAGCTGACACATGACAAGTTATATATGTCAAATTAATTTAACCTAAAGGTAGTAGCATATTTTGCCTTCCATTTATTCTAAAATGATTATTATTAACATTAAGTTTCAAAAATTATACCCTCAAGATGGGGTACGAGGAAGTTGAAAATGTCCATGGGGAGTTTTATCATTTTTCATGTTTATAGTTTATCTCGGACACAATTTGACCTATAAATATGAAATTTGGCAAAGTAGTAGTTTATAGACAGCCGGTCAGCTGAAAACTATGTTTTGTAGGGCAGATATGTATAAATGCGAAAAGATACTCGGCCATTAGTCACACAATTTCGAAAACTATACGACCTATGAACATGAAATTTGATAAGGGGGTAGCTTATGGACAATATATGTTAGTTAAGCACGGTTTTCACAACATGGCCATTTTAAGGGAGCTAAGGGAATATATGTATATATATAGCAAAAACAAAAGAGAGATAGTTCCTGGGGAAGGAATGTCAGCTAAGAGCATATTTTGCAACAGGGTTAAATTAACTCCATATTGCAATAGTAGATAGTATGCAATTTTCGTTTATTTCTAAACTCGATCTTGGGATGATGTGATCGAGTATCAGAGTGTGACTAATTCAATTTCTAGTCCATTTTTCACGCCTTATATCACTGGGAGGTAGACAGACTTATGATAATGTATGCATGTGTCATATTCGATTTGTCAACAAACAGTCGGTTTACACAATCGCACGACTAGAGGCTCAAGTACCGATACGCGTCAAGTCTTCTCAACGGATGCATTACAGGGCCGGCACTGGCTCAAACATATCCTTTGTGACCTAATATCTCGGTCATCTTGAGTCTTTGGTGTACGTGCTAAAAAAATATCCGTGCAAGGACTATTTCCACGTAAAAGAAAGTCCCAGTTTTAAGGGCACCTGTATACAGGTAGAGTTCCATGTTAGCTAGATCTAATTAAATCTGTAATTTTACTTCTTCTTTTCAAATTTGTTAGAGGTTATTTGAACGTTTTATGGCTTCTATATCACTGAATTTCATATCAGTCGGTGTGGCCCATCAATTCTGGATACACGTATTTTCTAAACATTTTGTAAATTATAGCAACGGTATATTTTCAATTATTATTGTTTTTTAGCTAGCCGAAGAGAACAAATGGTCATAATTTCGACGATATTAGAAAGAGATGAGAATCTGGAAGATAGGATATGAATACAGCCGTCGTGATAGATAATCATGGGAACTATTTGGGAAAGCATAGGCGAAATCACATACCAAAAATTGATAACCCTAATGAACCTACGTACTTTTGTGAGGGAAATACCGACCACCCTGTTTTCCAGGTAGGGCTCATTTTTGAAAAAATAGTATCCGTAAAACAGCAATTTTATTAAAAAGAAAATTAACTTGAATGTTATCTGCAGACAGACTATGGTAGAATTGGCGTTAGCATATGCTACGAGAGACATTTCCTCTAAACTGGCTTGGCTATGCATTGAATGGGGCACAGATAGTATTCAATCCATGTGCAACGGTAAGTAGTTTAACCACCTCCTTTCACCCTCGGCCCCCAGGGTCATTCCCTTAAGAATTTTAAATGACAAGGGGTATCGAGTAATAGCTTGTTTGAAAGGTCTTTCGAAGTTCGTTATTTTGACGTTTGATTTTTCAAAATCAGTTGATTCAGTTTCGAGAAAATTAGAAAAATCTTTATTCATCTTAATTTGTTCAGATAGAAAACAAAAACACACGAAAATATCACTTTTTGTTTCAATAAGTGTTCAAAATGTTGCCCATTAGGATTTACCAAATCTACAATTCGTTTATAATTTAAAACGGAAACTACCAACATAAACAGCA